TTGGCGGTAGTCCGACGAAGTTCGCCGTGACACAATGGCTGCCGCCGCTCCAGGCAGCAGCATCAGCTCCAGCAGATGATCTGCTCATAGTGTGCTGGGCTGGGGGTGGCGTGTGATTGACAGTCCTACATCGTCGAGAGGCACCGAAATCTTCTCTCGCCGTGCTCGTTGTGCTCCAGTGTCTTGTGCTCACGTTCTGGCCCAGAGCGGCAGGTTGTCATCGGGGGAGAAGCGCCCCTTCGGCTACGCTCGTATCCACTTCTCCTATGTGAAACATCTGACCACCATCGTCGTTGAGTTTCCGCCCGTGGTCGTCGAATGGATATCGGCATCCCGAAAGTTTCTGAATGAAGTTCGGACCTGAGGAAGTTTCCTCACCCTCGTCGTCCGATTTGAGATGCTGAGCGCTTTAAATAAGGAAAAGGTAATTTTTGAATCTTCTCATCCACTGGAGCCCCGTGCTCCGAGGGCTGAAGTGAATCCGCTGCTGCGTATGCTTCACACGGGACAGAAGCGGAAATTCGAGCTGGCTTTCAGCTCAGAACTGCAATTACTGTCGCTGAATAGTGTTCTCGGGTCGGTGGACTCCTTCCGAGATGTGACAGATCGGACGTTCAGCAAGAAAGCAAAAGTTCTCCGCTTTGCGGAACTTCTCAGGAACTCGTTCGACGAAGGCACAAAAACACCGTTTCGTCCGAAGTGTCTTCCTTATTTGGCTGTGTATGGCGATGAATCATGAAGTTTGCTCCAAGATCCGAACGCGACGCTCGGACTCCGTGCGACAAGGATACATCGATTGTCTTTTAGTCAGAATTTAGAGGAATACCGATGTGTGTTCTCTGGAACGAGGCTCTTCTTGCCGGGAAACTACTGGGAGAAAACAAGCGAAATCATGTGCGTCATTCAACTGGAATAATTTCGATTACGCAACTCAGCTTTCTGTCGGAGAGCTTCGCTCATCGACTTCTCCGGCGAGATTTCTGAGACGGCTGCCCGTTGTTCCAATGAATGGATCGGTCCGAGGATTTCTCTCTTAATCGACTCGCGGGAACAGTATTCGCGGAAAAATATTACAATATCCCCGCAACAAACAACGGAACTTTTCTTCTTCCTGTTTTTTCTCTAGACGGCATCCTGATGTTGTCGATGTCGTCGACGCTTTGGGAACACATCAATGCCAACCGAAAATTGTCCTTGATTGGGATGGAAAAAAACTTCGCTATCGCAATGCTGAAGTCGGGCGTAGACAGTCACTCACTCAACGACGGACTAACATCTGTCACGCGAACACGAATTCTTGACTCGTGGCGGAAGGGGCCCGGTACAAGTTCTTTATCCGGAAGAAACTTGAGCCACCGTTTCTAGGAAGGGAGAATGAAATATCGATTCAGTAATACATGTTTCGATTTGAGTCCACACTGGCCCAGACCGCCCATCAATGGCTTCTGCTGCTGACGACATCCGATTCGAGCGGGAGATCGAAGATTCGCTTCCCGAAGTGAGCTAGCTCGCCGAATTGAACTGGATCCCAATACCTTCGAGGGTGTCGCTTCAACTGGTGCCACCTGTTGAGCTCTGTTGTGTGTCCCGGCGGCGGGAACTGGTATCTCTGCGTCGTGTCCGAAGCGACCGATTCGTATGAAATCGGTCGTCGATTGTTGTCGTTTTTTGACGGTCCGACCGATCGTTCACGGTGCTAGTTTTTGTTCCGCAAAGTCCAGTCGACGCATTGGAACAAGGTGGTGAACGGAGACTTTCCAACGGGGAGGAAAACCTACCTACATGGAATGGAACAGCGAATGAGCTCGGCTGAGCTGCTCGCTCCGGAAAGGCGACTTGCACCTCGTGTTCCGACAGCATTGTTGACTCATTTATTCGATTTTATTGTCCTTCATGAATGTTCATTGTTCTCCGATCGTGTTGCTGCCATGCGAGGAGTCTTTGTCATCTCTGCTGTTACTTGAGAGAAATCGTTCGATGGATAGAATTTCTGGAAGATTTCAAATCACGTCCCAACCACGTACTTCTCGGCGGCTACTTCTTTCTAGAAGAATGGTGTTGGGCCAAGACTCTTGGCACAGAAGCCTCTCTTCGTTTCGTAATTCCATGTTTGTGCAATGGAGGCGTGTGAGATGGAAAAATTCACGACTTTGGAGAAGTAGTTCGGACGATGAGGTAAACGAGCGTATAAACATGATTCCGACGGCAGTTTTGCTGTATCGGTCGCTAATCCCCTCCGTCAACGGTTTCGGGAACAAACGAGCCGGACCTACTCGACTTTCGCGCTGAATAGAACTGCTCATCTGTGCCTGTTGGGCAGGGAAAGTTGCGGGCAAGCTCAAAGTTGCCCAAGCGTCGGACTCGTTTTATTCTTCTCATGCTTGGGGAAGTTTCCCAAAGAGATTTCATGTCGCGAAGGTCCGGCTTTGGAGTCGATTGAAACAGAGAATCACCGTCCTGGATGAGGGGCACTCAGGAGTTTTCAAATCCAATTGAGTTGGGCTCGTTTCAATCACGGTCAGGACGACGGACGCCTACGAACGAGGCAGCGGCAACAATCACGAGACCCGAAGCTCAGGCAAAACAAACGGCGGATAAACCCAAATGACTGCTGATGGCTCGACTCCAGTGGCTGGCAGGCGCGCGACGGGAACAATGGACGAGCAGATTGTGGGCAACGGTTACGAAGGTTTACCGCTAAGTCGTTTCCCTTCATTAGAATCCGTATCGTAAACTGGAATTCCAGTCGTAGCGGTAAGAGTAGGTAGCAAGTAGCGAAGATTGTTAACGAGTGTCATTAATGCGAAATCCCCTTGAAAAGACCCAGTACTTCAGTCTAATGGGTTCTCTCACTGCGTCACTTTCTCTTGCGGTTCCCGTTCCACTACCAGCGAACGAGATGGCCGGTCAGATTCTCATTTCGGTAGGTAGGTAACTCGGACTTCTGTCGAATGCCTGATCGAATAATAGATCTCATTCACCAGAGCTCGACGTGAAAGAATTCTTTACGGATATCATTATGATTCGGACGGTCGAGAAAGGTCGACGAAAACGAAAGAGACTTCCTCTTGAGGGATTCTGACTTCTCAGACCATTATTCTGGTCTTTCGTTCCCGAGCAGGGTTTTCCCGACATTATATTCCTTGATAGAGCTAGATCTGTTGTAGAGTTCGGATGAACGCCTCCCCAAAAAGTCCGAGAACTCCGCTCACGAAGGGTTTTCTGTTTCAGAATGAGAGCGCAATTGCTTCTCCGAGTGCTGACAGCACAATAACGTCTTTCCTCAGGGCTCAATCCCCGACGGATTCGGGGTTGGACGAGCGGAACGAGGAACGCTTCGAGTGCGACTATGACGAGGACTTGAACGGCAACAAACGAGTCAGTGACTCTCTGAGGTGAGGAATTTCGCTAGAAATCGTCCACCAGTATTCCCGGATTCGGATGCTCGGGGAAGCCGTCTTGATGAATTTTCGACGACTCCTGACAGCGTCGCTAACGACCGAAGATGCGCCGATAAAGACCTTGACCTGAACGATCCACGGGTTCGAGACGGAGCGTAGAAAAAACCGAAGTCACTGAGAAAGTTCAAATGAACGGCGGAATAAAGACGGGAACGCGTCGGTTTCATTGCGAATATTCATGAGAAAACCCTTGTAACCGTTGAGGTATTTCTTCCCAGAAGCCAGGACAGTTTCCGGGAGGGTTCCCCCAGTATCCACCGATTTGCCAATAGGAACACATGGAGTCGAACGAGCCTTAGGAGAAGTAGTTGGTCAGTTCCAGTGGCAGGGTATCGCTACTCACACGACAATAACACGCTAAACGAATTATTCCGCACCTCATCGGGATTCACGGATAGTGACGCAAGAACGGGAATTAAGCATGGTGGTGGTGGTGTGTGAACTTCTACCCTTAGCTTCCTCGATTTTTCATTCATCAACACTGAGTGGGGTGGGGGAGCGTTTTCCGGGAGCTTTGAGCTGGTTCGAAATAGATCAAAAGCGGAAAATACTTTTCTCAGTATCGGTCTTTCTGTCATTAACATGAGCCGGTTATTGACGTAGCGAGAGCTCTATTGCGTTGTCATGGCTCCATAGCTCCGAGTCGGTCTGATCAAATGTTTCGATGTCGAAGAGCGGGAGGTCAAACTCAAAAAAAATTCGCTTTCTCCCGCTCCCTCAGTCGTCACCGCTATTACCCTTGCGGCGCGTTGGGCTTTTGTGGAAGACATCCAACTCTGCTTAGGGTTGTGTGCAGGGCTTCAAACTTTCGTTTTTGCTCAAATGCGTCTCCTTCTTCTTCACGTCCGAAATCTCATTCACGATGAATCGAGGCAAAAGGAAACGATGAGAAACCCATAAAATCGAATGTGCTCTCCTCGAATCCATCACCCTTCAGGCTCGCATTATTGTATATTCAGTTTGCGGTCGAACGCTAGTCTCCTTCCAGATGCGCTCAGTCGCCGCCGCCGCTATGCCTTTCTCAATCGATATTGGGACACTCCCCATTTGTTGGGTGGCTCGAATCCCGGAATAACTTATGACAAGAGCTTATGAAGTCTGGTAGCACGACCGATCCGCGATTCACTAGTTGGAGAATCGAGGAACTAGTCTGGTTCTAATCCTTCTCCTGCTCTTGCCTTTTCAGCTCAGCGAAGTCTCTCGGGAACTCCTTCGGGAAAGACTTGTCCGCCGCCGCCGTGGCGAACGCTTCACTTAATTCTGCGCTCTCCAGAAGGTAGAGGCTCTACTTGTGTTCAAGTTGTATCCAATCCGAGAACGAGCGAATTTCGCGGGGAATCGTAGTTCTAGACTCTGCGATTCCCCATCGGGCCAAAACGCAAGTTGTTGCGGTCCCCAAGAGCGCGGTCCTCTGCAAAGCCCAGCCTTCATCATGGGATCCACCCTCACTGTTACCGCGATACCAGATGAGCCTAATTAATATATTATGTCCTCGACTGCAGATCATCATTTTCATTCGGAGGAGAAGACAATGAAGATGCCTGTTCATTCACGGATCATTCCCAGGTCGTCGACGACCTCACCGATAAGGTTAGATCCTCTCGATTCTAATCGATCGATCAATCGTCGTCGAACCGAATGGAACGGTCTCTCGGTCAAGAAAATATTATAAAGAGCCTCGGTGGCGTTGTCCTATTCTATCCCTCGCGAGACGTTTTCCTACGGTCGGTGCCCCTCTAACTTCCACGCAGCTATCTGCTCGCTCAGCGAAGTGACTTGAGATCAGATAGAGTGATTCACCCATTTTGGAGAACGTCATCTGATGCTCTCTTCGTATATCATTACTGTGCTTATCTTATGATTCTACGTCTCTCACACTCGGACTCAGGTCGACAGGCCGAGTTTTCTCAATATGTAGGATGTAGAAGATCGATTCACTGGTCTGCGTGAATGTCAAACGTTTCTTCTATCGCAGGTCCAGGTCATGGAAATGCAAATGTCGGTTCTGAGCGACGACCTTTCAACGAACAAAGATCTCTACCACCGAGTCAGACAGGAGAACTCGAGTCTAACTCAACGGTAAGGAGGAGAACCTTTCCTCGAGAATCATACGAAATTTGAGCTCCGCCATTCCACCGAAACGTAATCGTGGTTCTCCATTTCAGGATACATTTGCTGGAAGAGAACCTGAGAGAGCTCGAAGTCAAATCCGACGAGAGACTCCGAGACGAGCGGCGCCAGTTCACACAAATGATCGAACGCAAAGACAGGGAGCGATCCCTCGAGGTGGATCAGCATGTCAACAAAATTCTCGATCTCCAGGTAAACTCCACGGCTTCTGCCGCGATGGGAAAAAGATTCCGGGGATCTGAGCTCCCGGTAGAGCTGCATTTCGCTGACAATAGTGAGCTCTTGGGGATTTCGATCCAAGATTTTCCATTTTTCTACAGAAGGAGCATCTGGAGACGAAAGAAGAACTCATCAAACTCCGAGCAGTCAATGAACAGCTGCGACAAGAACGAAAGGTGGCAGTTGAACAATGTGCTGAAGCTCAACAAGAGCTCCAAGCGGCCAAACAAGATAACAGGGCACTTCAAGATGTGAGTTCCGCTCAATCGAGCCTGTTCCTGAAAGGGGGAGAGAAGGATTCCTGAAACAGTTCGACTCTTCTATCGAATCCTTAAATTAATTTCCTCATGCAGATGACACGGAAAGAGCGGGAGGATAACCTTAGAGAGAAGCAAATGTCTCAGGGTGTGAGTATTTTGGAATGAAACTGCCCGATTTCCTCCGATCCCCATCTTTCTCCTTCTGAGACTGAATCCCTTCCAGATTGTACAGGAACTTACGCAGAAGATTGAGGAATTGCAACAGTCACGGATCAAGAATCTGGTGAATCACGTGAGTTGAGATTGCAGTTGGAAGACGCATCCAAATACCCCGGGGAACGCTCCTAGAGTCTTGTGTTTCTTCCTTTCCGCAGGATGGCAATCCGCTGCGGGAACGGTCTTCGTCCTTCATTCAGAGTCTTCCAGCCCACTACGAGACCATGGAGAAGGAACTGGAGCGCCTAAGACTCGACAATCGTCGTTTGAAAGAGAAGAACGAGGAACTTGAAGAGGAACTGATGGAGCTCAAGGTTAACGTCTGTGGAAGACGTGAGGAACCGAAAGGGAAAGATAGCATGGATGATCCATTCGGTGTTCACCCCTGATTTATTCGTTCTAGGTCGGACGAGGACAGCGACTCCTTCAGGACGGGGATCCGGGATCTCAGGACAACAACTGGGCAGCTGAGACGAATAATCTCGCGATGCTTTCGAAGGAAGAGCTTCTCGAGCAGCTCCTGAAGCTGAAAGACACCAATATTCATCTTAGAGAATATATAGGCACTGTGCTCTCGAATATCATAATGACCAACCCACAAGTTCTGGAACGGAAGAGCTGAATCGTTTGCTTGGAAACTCCTGTGGGGAAGCACCAGACATGTCGGACATGAACCAAGTTCTAATGTGTCCGGTGCGTTCTCGCTTGGGGGGCAGAATTGCGAGTGAAGGGAGAAGTTGAATCGAAGGAGGAAACTACTATTTTTTCGCGAGACCTGTTATATAAGTTGAATGAGAAGAGTTACTGTTGCCGTTGGCGATATGTCTCCTGATGACTCGCCTTACATTGTCTTCAATCTTAGTCTCTATCCGAAGAATCGCCTTGCTCGGAGAGAACGCCGTCGAAATATACTCTTCTCCTCTGAGCATTTCGTTGGAGTCGTGGACGGCGATGAAAGAATTACGCATTCCATTTTCAATGAACCAGCACCCCACCGATCAAAACATATCCCGACGAGTGTATTCGTTCGCGCCACCATTTTAATAAGCAAGGTATCGAATTCAAAATAAAATCAAGGAATGGAACAATGTTACTGAAAATGCTCTTTTCAATTTTGTGGCCCCAGAGAGTTGCCTCTCATGATTTTGGTCAATCGCTGGCGCCAGTTCCCGGATGTGGAAGAGGGCGGAATCCCCAGACGAAGCTCGCAGTCGAATGGGGGACTGCCTGACGACTCATTGCGAATCCGTGATTGAGGGATGCGACTTGCGACGGGACCCCATTCAGATATAGGGTGGAGCTCACTGCCGCTTATCCTTTGATTATGCCCGAGCTGCTTGAACACTGTGATGGACGAAGCAGCATGCGAAATGAAGAACTTTCGGCGGAGAACTGTGGAGGAGACCTCATTTTCTCCCGAGTTCGAAAGCATTTGCATGAAGTGTATGATCAATGACATTCGTCAAGCAAGCTGTCGGCTCAATGCAATTCGCTCAGCAAGATGTTCCATGGAGTCAAAGATTCTGGCAAAAATTGATGTAGACCTGAAATCGCCCAAACTAATTCGGGATCAGTGCAAGAGGGGAAATCAGACGGGTTGCGCCCTGAGAGTTCACCTTGACACGAAATTCCTGACCTAGATATGACTGAGCAAATTTTCATAATTGCTCCACTAATTCCTGCCCAAAGCACGCCGAAGGTTCTCAATCGAGGATCATTTCCGCATGCCGTGGAGGAAGTTGAAGTCCTATGCCTGACAATCGTCCAGAACGATGCCACCCACGACATACCTGTGTTTTGTCCTGTACATACTCTCCCAGCGCGGCACATCAGCGCAACCAGGTAATTCCACGGTCTGAGGCATTGGAGTTTTCGAATAATTCCACGGTATTGAGCCGAAGCCGCGAGAGTTTGGGAATCGGAACTTATTCGCCTCGCCCCAACCTCCACCTTTCTTGGGAGTGATAATTTCCCGGACACGAGGAGGAAAGAGCAAGGGCATGATACTTAAGGACAAGACAATGAGATTTTCTGGGGTGAGAATGAGTGGTTCGATATCTTCGCTTGCAGTGCGTCCCCCGAATGAACAACAGTTCTCTGATGTGCTAGAATCGATTTTCGAAATGCTCCGAGAAGTCACAAGTGAGTCTCCGGCTGATTCGCCATAGGAGCGTCTGAAATTCAGTCGTACAATCTAATCATGCAAGATACTAATCGAAATTGAAGGAAGCGTATCGAATCTGGTCTCTGATGTGGCCGATGCCCTGGGAATCAAGACAGATGACGGTGGAATCGGGGGCGTTATCGGAGGAGCTCTCAATCTTCTGACAGTTGGGGCAGGTTCGTGTGCCAATGGGCGAGAGTGGCCCGGATTGATTAAGAAACCCCCGACGCCCTTTCTGCGCGACAGGAGCCACACTCAATCCATTGAAGCAGGATGGAGAGCGATGAAAACAGCAGCGAAGTTTTGAAGATTGGTGATTTATTTTTTCAGACATCGTGACCGGTGTGGCTTCGCATGTCATCGGCGGAGGAGATCTCTTGGGAGGACTGATCCCGGTCCTGGGATAATTCCCATCGAGAAAATAGATGTATATTCGTCGAGCCTCTTTTGAATACACGATACATTGTACGAGAAAGGCGGAAGACGAGTTTCTCTCCTCGATCTTGCGCAAGGTCAACCCATCTCTGCTTGAGAGCAGCTTTACATGGTCGACGATTGAAATAATTGATGCCATATTACTAAAGTAGGATGGCGTCGTAGGTATGGAAAGTTCAGGCATCATTCATTGATCACAATCCATCAATCCAGGATTGGAAGGTCGCATTGAAGGATACAACGACGGACGATTTTCGGGGACCGGCAGAATTCGAAAATCCAGCCATTATCTGATATGCCATCTATCAATCTATATCAGAAGAAGAAGTGATCAATGTGATTGATGCCTGAACTTCAAATGTTGTCTCTTTATTCGTTCACGGGCCCTAGCTTATAACTTCCAAGCGCATTGAGCTCGACTCTGCGCCCGGCAGAGTTGTGCTTTCAGATCACATGTCCTGCCGGAAAGGAACAACTTGTTGAACATATTGTCACCTTTGGCGCCAGAATCTCATTCGAACCGCGGCTCTCGAGTCAGCTGTTCCACCCGCATCAGCTCATTTTGGAACATTCCGACGATTTGTCGACGCCGTCGTTGAAAGCTCTGCCTCGAATGATATTCACGCGGAGGGGTACTCGATCGGCCGTCCTTACAGAAAGGAGGTTCAGACAGCGCTCGAAGTCAGTGTTCCGAGGAACACGTCACATCATCCCGGGCACAGACACAGATCCGGCTCTTGACGTGCGCACATTCCTTGGAGCACTGAGCTTTCCGAGGAGCATTTCGCGGCAGTCGATCGCAACTCGGGAACCTAGGAGTGAGGATCTACGTGCGCCTTGAATAGGCAAGTGGCAGCATCGGTCACTTCCGTGCCGGTGACAGGGCCGAGCCGCGTCTGTTTTGAGGGTACCCCATTCCCTCAGTTTCCCTCCACTGTGGGTAGGTGGCGAGGACCGCGGACTGCTGAGCCGTCACTGTCGAACGGAAGACGTGAATGATATAGAACTACACATTCTAGTGTCATCATGAGAAAACGGAATTTTCTCTGTGCATTGGTGCTCCTGGTTTCAGGCTGTAATGCACAAGCAGAACCCCCATCCTACAAGTACTCCCGGCAGGCGAACGAGCACGCTCAGGTCAGTTGACATAGCCGAAAACATATTTGACAAATGATCGCGTGTGATCATTTGAAGGAGTCGAGAGCCTCATAAGGCCTCGGGGCAGGAATCGACAGAATCGACTCAGAATTTCGAGCGCGACATCCGGTCGAGGATGCCTGTAGAGAATCAGCTGAGTCTTTGCCGGCTGGGCTCCCGACCCGACGCTCCCCATGGTGGAATCCAACGCATCAAGATCTTTCCCACGTAGAATAAGCGCTGTTGGCCTTACATAGGAGACCGTAGCGTGCCCTCAGTAAAGAAATCAAGTTAATTCAAACGAAGAGAAACCTTTTGTGGCGCCCGGCGCGCCGGGCTCGCTATATTGGTTATGGCTTGCTCGAAACGTTCGAGAACGTAGTTTCTGGCTCTTAATTCCATTGAGAGATTCATACCTCCGGAACGATCTATTCTTTGGGGATATTCCGAAGAATTCTCTGCGATCCGTCATCCGATTTCCAGTTCCCTCCCTACAGATGCGAAATCACAAAGAGTAGAAGAACCTCTTGCCGGGAGATTCAGTACAGCACTAAATCGCTCTTCGCCTTTTTCAGCAACTTAAGGAGTCCGACGTCCATCCTGGACACTCGCACGGAGGACACGGCCACTCACATGGTGGACACGGCCACGCACATGGTGGACATGCTCACTCTCATGGTGGGCATGAGCATTCGCATGGAGATCATGGACATTCACATCACGGACACGATGACACGCGAGGCAAAGGTTCGATAAGCCGTGGCAGCTCGCAACGTCAAGATCTCTCTAACTAAGAGCCACTCTTATTCGTCTGTGGAGAATTGTTAGGCCAGTTCTCCTGATTCTCGAATTCGACTGCAGCGGGATTCATCACAGAACGCTCGCCCGAAGATCGATCGATCGTCTGGGCTAAAGCTATTGGTGCTACATTGCTCGTTTCCTTGGCTCCCTTTTTCATCCTGATGTTGATCCCCATTTCCGGGAAACAGGGTCACGAAAACGTCCTAAAGGTGAGCAGCATACGGACCGAGCTGGATAATTTCTCGAGGTGAAGGGTCGGATCGAAACAGAATGAAGTCTCTGATGCCGTCGCTCAAAGCTAAGAAGGGCAGAAACTCCATCCTCCAGGTGTTTCTCGCTTTTGCATCCGGCGGTCTTCTCGGAGACGCGTTCCTACATTTGATCCCTCACGCTATGACGCCCCATGGCGAAGGTCACTCCCATTCGCACTCTCACGAAGAAGGTAAGAAATAATTCGAAGGCGGTGGAATCTGTCAGCCCGGAATGGATTACACGAAACTTCTGTCTCGAGGTACCTCTGAAACCAATATCTTGGGGTCGAGCAGCCTCGGCTACTGATGAGTCCATTTATAAATTTCGCAGGTCACGCTCACGACAACAGTGTAGGCATAAGCGTTCTCCTAGGAATTCTCGCATTCTTCATGGTTGAGAAATTCGTACGACTCGTTAAAGGTAGGTTGCTACTTTGCTCCCGGGGTTATCATATCACCCGAGTCGATCCGGATCATCTCTGACCGCGGAAAAACGAGTTTGCACGAACTGGAACCGCCACATAAATACTTCTTGAAATGAATAGGTGGTCACTCGCACGGGCATTCCCATGAGCCAACGCATGGAGCTGAAGACGATGCGAAGAGAACTGAGAGCAAAGATCAACCGAGAAAAACGAGAGCTGCAAAACTGAAGGCTGGAGGCGATGCAGCTCAAGTGGACTCACAGAAGCCAGGTCAGGAAGAAGACGTGACAGTTTCGATACCGATGCTCGCAATCCCGGACTGCTGGCTTATTTTGACTCCAATCTCTTAATCCGACTTCCGCTCACTCGTACGCTGATGAATGATGCCTTGTCCAATTCGTGGGTCGAGAAGAGTGGACCGTAGGGAGAAACCGATGGGCACTTGCAGAGTCACACCATCTTTCCCGTTGCAGAGCCCCCAGCGCCGATCAAGGTGGGAGCGTACTTGAATTTGGCGGCTGATTTCGCGCACAACTTCACAGACGGCTTAGCCATCGGAGCATCTTTCCTTGCCGGTAGGCTTCAATATCTTGGAGACGTCATGTGATTAGGTCACCGGCTTACTAGCCGATCCGTCTTCCCGCTCTGCATTGTCTCTGAATATCTCTCGCATTCTGATCCCTTATAGGAAACACGCCCGGCATGATCTCAACTGTGATAATTCTCCTTCACGAAGTTCCTCATGAGATCGGAGACTTCGCCCTCTTAGTTCAGAACGGCATGACGAAGAAGCGGGTGAGCTGCTCATAATGGATTCGTACACAATATATTCCTCGAGTACCTATGTGGTTCAGGAGAGCCGAAGATGCACATCAGCCACCGGCACATGTCTCGCGTCGATTGAGACGATCTGCAATTTTTCTCTCGCTCCTCCAGGCTATGTGCGTACAACTACTCACGGCCGTCGGATGTCTGGCCGGAACGGTACTCTCATTAACAATGGAAGGTGTAGGAGCCGCCAATTGGGTTTTGCCCTTCACAGCTGGAGGTCGGTAGTCTCGCTCGGTCCGAAGCATTTCCATTGTGAGAGAATAGCGCTAAATACTCAATCAGCGACTTCTCGATATATGACTGAGACTTCCGAATCATTTCATTCATAGGATTCATCTACATCGCGACTGTCTCCGTGATCCCTGAATTGCTCGAGAACACACAGCCCTGGCAGAGTCTTAAAGAACTCGTCGCTTTGGTCATAGGAGTTGTTATGATGATGGTTCTCACGGAGTTTGAGTAGAATCCTGTGGAAACTTGGGATGGGGAGGAAGTGGGTCATGAGTGAGCTTTATGTCATCGAACGAGTGGAAATCGTGAGAGATATGTGAATAAATCGATTTATTACTGAACTCGTGGATTGGAAGAAGAGTTCTGCAGCTCGTCATTCTGCAGTCATGGATGTGTCCCATTTTCACTCCTGTGGACTCACAGTATTCACCCATGTTTGGAGCCGGCGGGCCTCCTCTCGCAGGCACTTTCAGGGAAGAATGATCCATTGACAGCCGGCCCTCGCTTTTGAGATGCCCTTCAGACGACTCCTCACCCGAATTTCATCTCCACGCAATAATTAGAGCTACGTCGCGGTCGGTGGTTGGCATCTCGCCCTGAGGAGCCAGCGGGTGAGAGGGGAGTCATCTTTGGGGTAAGCTACTCCCTTTAGACCAAAAGAGTCTAAGCTGAAGTAGCCCAGGGCCCACATTGTTTATTCTGCGAAGACGGGACCCGACATGCGAATGTCTGAGAAGACGTACTCCGCCGGAGATAGAAAATTCCCCCCCTTCGCCGATGGCCAAGAAGTCCGGCGAGTTGTTGGGATATCGACGGGCGTGCTGACTCAGTCAGGAGAGCGAACCCAGACGTTCGAAGGAGCATGATGTACATTAAAACATTGGGATTCGACCCAAGACGAGCGCTCCAAATCTCCGATGCCGATGAAAGCGTGATTATCCTCGCCCCAACCGAGAGAACTATGCTGCCGACAGTTCCGAAGGTACTTATTTCGAGAACAAAAAAGCCGAAGGTACGACGGGGCTCATGAGGGGCCGGTGTAGATGGATATGAGCAAGCGGCCGCGAGATTAACAAAAAGAACTTGTCGAGTTCCACTCCAGGAGCGTCCCCGACTAGAATGATCCCTCTGATTCCGACTAGAATGTCGTGAACAATAGAAGAGTGGTGCTAGTTTCCATTGGACACGAAAGGGTGCAGATATCACTCGTTTGGTGTTTTGACCACTCCGAGCCGCTCGGAGCTCAAGCTCCTTTTCGAGTCAAACTGAAGACAAATTGAAGCTACAGGTAGAGAAGCTCCAGCCTGTTCTACTGATTGCCGGACTCTCCAGTGGACGCCTCTCCGACCCGCCTCATGAGTCTCGGACAAGTCCAAGGAAGCCAATCCGTCCGGGTTTGACCGATCGAACACTCGCTTTCCAAGATCTACACGATTTATCCCCTTTTATCGAAGGTAATTAGTATGCTTTCGAATGGGTTGAACCCACAGGCTGGGGTGACAAAGAAGGGCTCCCGCCATTAGCTAATTAATCCCACGGACCTAGAAGGTACCGCGAACTCTTTGTGACTTATACGGAATCGATGGAATGGTCGCCCACTTACTGGATATCTGGCTGGAGGCAGGGTCTTCGTGCTCTCTCTTGGGCCTGATATGACCCTCACACTCTCGCCTCGTCAAAGTACTCCGTGCTGGGCTGCGACTCAAACTGCGCTCGATCTCCGACCCATTCCGCAGACGAAGTTTGTGATCCTGAAAACCTAGGGTTTTTGACAAAATCAGGTACGTCTCGTTATATCAACTGTCGCTCGAGGACTCCGGCTCATCAACCCCTAGGTCGGGATAGAATTAGGTATCTAGTATCTAGCAGACCCCGGCTGATACCGGGAGTGCGCTGGATCTCCCGTCTCTTGTAGATCATCCCTCGACGCCTAGAATCGATGTGCAAAGATTTCAACTTCCGTCTTAGCTTGAGAGCAGGCGGCTCGCCATCCGCTTGGGAGTGGGTCAGGAATGGCTTGATGACCCGTCATAGACCCCCCTTGATTAAGTCCGGAGAGTCGGAAAATGGGGCTGAACTTGGTGGTAAAAAAACTCCGGAAAGGTCGGAACGCCATTCCTGCCTCTCTTCGAAAAAGAATCCACGAATCTAGGACGCGGGAATCATTTGTGCTCCCAAAACTGGAAAGTCCCTAAATCATTTTTCTTCGTCGAAAGCGAGAGTCACGAGGAGTCAAGTCTGACCGATATTACCGAGCGAGTTTTCGCGACGCGTACGCATCAATATATGCACAAAGTCCTCCGGGAAGTTATTCCGCACGCTCTAGAGCAGCGGTTCCCAACCTTTTTGGCTCCGCGGCTCCGCAGCGAACCCAGAATTCCCCCGCGGCTCCCAGGATACCCAGTGCCCTCGCGGCTCCCGCGGCTCCTACATACCTACTACATCTACCGTGTAGTAGGTGGGAACTTGGCTCCGACCTCGTGGCAGATGAAGTCGATCCGTTTCGGAACCTTCCCTTGGAATTGACAAACCCTGACGGCCCTGACCTACACCAGGAATTCTTCCGCGGCTCCCCCAGAAAAGTCCCGTGGCTCCTGGGGGAGCCGCGGCTCCCCCAGAAAAGACCCGCGGCTCCCCTAGGAGCCGCGGCTCCCAGGTTAGGAACCGCTGCTCTAGAGCGATCGACTTCTTCGATGCCATCACTTTGAGTGTTGCGGGGTCGTTTTTGAGTCAGTTTTCATTGGACCGATAATGTCCGTTTAGCCAGTGTTCCGGCTCATTCGAGGAAACGCTGTGCTAATCGATTCCACTGTGATGATTCCTTCAATTCCGCGTGTCATCGAAGGAGTCCGACCGATGGTTCTCGGGGGTTCGATCCCACCCCGTACAGACGCCGATCGCCAGAACGATGGGCGCGGAAGCCGTCGCCGATTCTTTCGAACGCGCTTCCGATCTCTGGGATTTTTCGGGAGGGTTCTCGATTGAGATCCTCGGGTCAATCGATATCAGTGCATCCTGTCAAACACACGTTGACGTTCCTTAGATCGGAGAAAACTTGCGGACAAACTTTTTGCTTGATTGCGGCGGCAGGAGCAGCTCAAGATGGGCACCGAACGCTTGAGAGATTCCGTCCCTATTTCTGCTCTCGGTGACCTTGATTTGAGGAGCTCGGATTCGCGCGGGCTCTCGCCGTCGTATCTCCACATAGATGGATACAATGATGGATCGAGTGTCGCGCTTTTGCGATGACCTTCTCGCCGTATCAATAAATGGGTATGCGGAATCGCTTGTTTCGTTCAGGGATGCACTCCCGGTGGCGTGAATTGATGTCAATGAAAGGCTATTGCTACGACGCGTACGTTCCGCCCATGAGATGCAAGGGTCAACAGCTGATGGCGGAGGGCTGTTCTAAAGGTGCGTGCAGAGTTTGTTACTGCGCTCGAACTCGGTTGAGCTTAATGGTCGTTCAAGGCGAATACCGGTTCTTGAAGCTGTTCTCGGACGAAAAGGCGCGTTCAGACTTTAGACCAGGTGCTGAGCACTTCCAAGACTAGAGCTCTGCGGAACGAAGTCATCCTCTCAGGCAAGTCTCCAGAATTTGGAACCAGGGTCGACGGAAGTCGGTTCTTGGCGTCGATGGATGGCAGTGGACATTGATTGATTGATTCCCGTCAGGGGATAGGGGCGGAGTCATGGACAGATCGCGGTCTCTGCGATTTGTGCCCGTCGGGAGATCGAGCATATCTCAGGGTCCAGGGCTCTCATCTCTCCAGCTGATTATTATTCGTCTCGAGTCACTATCTGCTAGCCCTTTCAAACAGATTTCGAACAGGATCAACAGGCGCGGAGAGCATTGGGTATAGAGAAAAACAGAAACACATTTGCGATCCAAAGGTCCCACCTCACGAGTGCGACCCTCTTCAGAGTGTGCCGCAATCGAAAACTTGCTGACGCGGATGTCGAACAGGAACGGTCGGGTTTCGAGTGAGCTATGCTTTAGCTGCACGCAAAATCCGAGACCCTCCTCACGAAGGTCTTCCGGGTATCGAGAATGCGTTGTGATCCATAGGGATCCAGAGTCGGAGTCATTTGTGTCATGATGCTGATGTTCATTAGCCATCGCGATACTGGCATGCCCTCTTGATCGAAATCGCTGAGAGCGAGGAACGAGACGTGTATTGGCGGAGCTATTCACCACGCGACTCCGACGACCTCCCGATATGGCCTTTTCCGAACGCAGAGAGAAATTGGAATCCCGAATAAATTATTCTTATTGTCATGACTCAACGTCCCTCATTCCGATGGGTTTGGTCAGGCGGGAGTTCGGCGAGACGGCACGGCGCCGGCGATTGCTCTGGAAGACTATCTCTGGAGATTTTGACCACGGGAGAGGCTCTTGACCGAGGCAATCCTTTGATCGTTGCATATCGGCGATACTCGAGTAGATATGTGGGAAGAGCGGATATTTTCGCACAGAGCTCCACAAGTGTCTACGCTTGGGTCCGCTTCTTTCCGGAATCGATATCATATCACGAAGGCTGAAATCTTGTGCGAGGAACTAGGCTCACTGACATCGGTAAAACCCTTAGGCTTTGGAATGGTAGCTGAGGCATTGGGTTTCAACTTCTCTGGTCTTTTATTTATTCGTGGTGCCAAGTCTATGGTCGACTCTGTTCCAGCCTGGGAAATCGGACCCTCTGACATGAGTCTCTCCCTTCGTCGAATGGCTCGGAAACCGTTCAAGTTTTCTGGGAGAACTGAGGAACGCCGGCGTCCCCCGCGGCACTCAAAAGCTTATCGATTTTTTTCCCAATTTTCGGAATTGAAAATCCCCCATGGAGGCTCGTGTGGAATCTAAACCTCAGAAGAGCCTTTCAGGCTCGAATAGGAGGCGGTGCGTGGCGCTCGCCAAAGAATTTTGATGGAAGATTAATCTATGGATCCATGGACTCCGAATTCATCGGATCGAGCTGAAAGTTTTCTCATGTATCGACCCATGGGAGTGCTTGTTGTCGGAATATAAGCGATGCGACCGCGACATTGGTGAAGTCAGGAGTCGTCTCTAGACTTGCCGCACTCGTAGGTTTCAACAGGTTCTCAGGAACTTCACGAATTCAGCTTGCCTCGTTTCTTCTGCTATTGCAGAGCGGACGGTCTCCATACCCAGACAGCTCTTGACACGATGGAGGCGCTTGTATTCGGGATCGAAGGGAAGAAGATGTCGATCCAGGAAAGAGTCTCGCCCCCACCCGAGCTCTGATGTCCTGTACGAATCAATCGATTCCCTTTTTTTCGCAAGGGGGTGAGAATTTATTTTCTGGGCGAATATTCCACCCCTGAGCTGTTGTCTGGAATGGCCCGCGAGAATCCTCCGATCGATTGGTCTCAGACGATCGCGAAAATTATGTCGCTCGAGTTTGAACAGTCCAATTATCCGGTACTAATCGTGAATGCTGCTGGAGTCTACATATAGGTACATGTTGATCCTACGTACATCCGGCCTTCGGGGCGAACTATCGAGAACATCAAAGTCGGAATCGCTCCTCTTTGGGTCGGCTCGATATCGAGAGCCGAACGGCTATCAACTCATCATAAACAGCTTTTCCAACTACGCGAAGAGCTTTTCTGTCATGAAATTCCATTGCCATGCTTGAAATCAAGGCACGGTATCGGAATTTCATCGAGTGCGTTCGGGCTGTCAACGGCAGGAACTTTGAGTGCGTTATCGAGATGAATGTTCGCGGGGAGCCTTCGTTTTCCCCGAAAAGTTCCCGTGACTATTTGTGTGTGGATGTACATTTCAATCCTCTGATATGCCGCGAATTCAGTTTCTGCCCATGGAAAGCAGAATGAGGGAACAATTAGATTTCGAATGATCAAGCCGTGCTAGTGTTAGACTGCTCTTGGTTTTCTCAACGTAAATGACGTGGTGTCATAATAGTGTCTGTATTTATCGCAGCGACAAGGCTAAGAGCTCCATTCGGATCCGACTCGGTCCGGGATAACCGATTTACCGTGTTACTCCGAATATGAGTCAGGGCCTTATTTGATTATCCCAGGAAAGTCACCCAGGCTTATTCTTAAGGAAGGGTCCTTTGAACTCATCGGATAGAAGCTCGGTCAAGAACACAACTCCTGTTTCCTCGGTGTTGACGCTTCCCATGCGACGCGGAATCGAGACAACGAGTGCTCCGAACTCGAGGAATCAGAGCCCCATATGGAGCATATTCGTACAGCACGAGGGCTCATTCTCGGGGGTGGGCTTATTCAGACGCCACGTCCGAAAATCTAGACAGGGTCCATTCCCCAAGGAGCCGCATAGTCGGGGAAACACGGTAGCGAGCAGACACCGAGAAAGATCTCTTTCTCAGTCGGCCCCGGGTCCAGCCCTCATGTGTTTGACAATACCGGCCCTTGGTCGTACCAGATGGCTCGGTTTTCTGTTTGTAACTTGGGATCGTAAAAACTTAGAATCGGCGCGGTCATGTCACTGGAAGGGTTCTCGCGACCGAAGTTTTTCGTATGGGTCCGAACAGATTTCATCATCCTTTGTGACGTCACGAGTCGCTTGACGCGCCCCCTATGGTGCACCAGTGAGAGCAACCTTCTCTGCACATAAGGCCGACCACAGACAGTCTGGCTGACCGTCCCCGAGATTGGTCATGGTGTTTTCTATGAAGACTGTATTCAGTAGAACTTAGGACAGGTGTTCTCTCCACCGAGGATTTCTTTCAGTGTGAGTTCCAAATAATTCCAAGAGTTTCCCCCTGATTCCATACTTCGGAGCCGGCTATGGTCCCTCCTCGGGGCATGCTCTACTTACCTCTTACTACAGGTACGAGATTGAGCTCGCAAATTCACCCCCTCCCTGCATGAAACAATGGAAGCCCCGAAAACCCTAGCTGAACTTCCGCTCTTCAGCTCTGAGTTTCTCCTATGTGGGGTAGGGGTGGGTACCTGCATTTTTTTCCGGAAGCCAAATCCCTAAAATCTCTCAAGTCTCCGGCCGTGACTTTCTGTAAAGCCTCGACTCGATCATTTTCCTCTTGAGAAGCATCCTCGAAGTGATTTAGACCTATCTTGCTTTTCTGTATCCGAGACCTGACTTCGCCGGTCCCGCCGCTCACGTCATCGGGTGTCAGGGAACGAGGAGCAAGGGCGTATCTGGTGATGTAGTTCCGATTCGATTCTGTCGTGGCTAAGATTCGACCGAGGATCCCAGTTCTCAAAAAATGCTCTCGGGATCCATGAGGGGAAAGGAGACGTGGTGGACAAAGCTCGATATCACCAAAAGTTTGGAATGTGGTCATTAAGCCGATGAACATACCACCGAAGAAGACCATATTGGCCTTGGAACGATAAGAAGTATCGAATCGCAGATTCCCTGAGCTCTATCTATTCATTCTCTACCTCGGGAATGTACCGGCGTGGCTTCGGACTTGAGGGATTCTTGATTGGATCTGATTGGTTCTTCAACCGAGCGGGCTTGAGAGCGGTCTACTACCCGTGGTTTGTCGGTTTAGCAAAGTGCCACCGCTCCGCCATCAATGGTAAACAGGATGGAATTCGTGATCTCGTCGGTGAATAATGATAGATCCGAATCGACCGAATAGGAGCTCGGTTCGGGATCCTCTACGTTTCCCGATGGCTCGTCGAGGTTTTCGGTACGCTCTTCTGCCGAAACCCGTGATCCTATTCACGAATATCCCACCTCCGAGGGTTGGAGATGAGAACCTCAGAGTATTGAGAGCGATAATTTCCCGAATCCAAACGTTGGGAGAAGTTTCATGTTCCATTTCAATGCTCTGTCCGGGATCCAGCGATGTTGAAATTTCATCACGGTATTCCAGACCGCACGTTCCGAATCCATGTACGACTACAGTTTTTTTTTCCAGATTGAACAAGTTGTGCTCATCAGTGTCCAACATTCGCTCAGAATGCGCAGCGTATGGATCTTTGGATACGGGAGCCTAATCTGGAGGCCTGGTTTCGAGTACGAGACGTCAATGGTCGGCCACGTCAAAGGCTTCCAACGCGTATTCTATCAGGGCAACGATAGGCATAGAGGAAATCCTGAACGGGTGAGTGCAGCTCTCGGCGCGATGATTCCTATCGACCTTATGCCCCGATCGCTCCCGCAGACGGCTCATGCTGAGCAACCGTCCCGATTCGCTCGTGCTGTATATTCAGGAGTCCGGGAATAGTTCGGTCCGTGGAGAACCATGGACGTGTTCGCGTTCAGCGGCAGGCTCTGATCATTCGGAATTCGAGCGTACGATAAGCGTTTCGGTCGAATCGATTTCTATATATCGGCGGAGCTTCAGAATAAAATAGTTATGATTCCAAAACTTTCCTGGGTATTACGGCCAATCCCCATGATGATTGACGTTGATTCTAATTATCATTACAGTGGGGACGAGTGGCGACCTTGATGGACTGCGAAGAGGTAAGCCAACAGATAATTCATAAGACACTGTAAAAATTTCTGATTTCGACAACATAGGGATCGATAATAATTGATCCCACTGAACCGAGCCTGTACCTCCGGAACCATACTAATTTTCGAACGCCGTATTCCGCAGTCAACTGTATGGGGCCGCGCGTTCCTCGTCAATATCGACGAGGGAGCGACAGATTGTCCTCTAGCGTATCTAGACAACAGAGAATCGAAGCAAGGGGGCTATGCCACTCTGACCACGACTTTCTACCCAAGGTCAGTTTGATCTTTCTGGAAATTCCGCCCTCCTATCGGCGGAGCGAGTTACTTCCTTCTCCGAGGATCCCTTCATAATCTCTCTCCGAACTCCGCAGGGCTGGCCATCTGAGTCCCGTGGAGGCTCTAGTCTACGTAGCGTTACCAAACAATTCGTTATATCTGGGACCGAGGGGCTATACCGATATGGCTCGGGAGATCATTGCCAGTCAGGTGGGTATTCAGATCGCAACCGATTCGCTCACCGGGCGAATCCAAAATCAATTCAAAATGATTGAGCCAAGAGACCTCAGTAATTCTCCACTGTCTTCTCCAGGGCGAGTGCGGGTCCAATGTCGAGTATGTTCTCAACATAGCGGATTTCATGAGAGAAGAAGTCTACGGGATCGACGACGAGCATTTGTTCATGCTAGAAATGCACATACTATCCGAGCTCCAGCACTGGACCGAACACACGCCGAGTTTCCGGGACAAAGTGGTATGCACTGAGCCTCGCCTCTCCTTCCCTTCCTCAGTTACTCCGGTTGTTTCGGTCGGTTCGTCATGTTCTTTTAATTTGGCAGAGGATTCTGAACCGTTAGCTTCGACTGGATACCTTTCAGGTCTCCGAGCGGTCGTCGTGCGCGAAATTAGTGCACGCGGCGAATTCCGCCTGCGACGATGGGAGAACGTCACAGGGTTGCGCGGCAGGCGCTCAAAACAAACAGCTCCAAGGAGGACAAGCGGCCAACGGTGATGATTTCACTTCATCGCTCCTCGCGCGGAAATTACGTTGCGTCGACATTTGATGATGTTCCATTCTAGACGGTGTTCAAGTTCCTTGAAGGTATGACTTGTGAAAATTGTTCCTGTTCCGCAAATTCTTGCGAAGAAGTCATGTATGCCAAATATTTGCGCCCACCCTTTGTATAAATTCCTCTGCTCAGCTCACGTCGGTTTCGGCAGCGGAAAATTCTCTTTCCATGTATTTACAATGTGTCCGGTGCGCTCGTGCAGATGAATAGACTTCCCTAGGTGTTGAAACAATTTTGAGAGTGAGTGGAATTTCTGTCAGTCGCGCCGATTCCGTTTCCCCTCGGACCCTTAAGCTCCCACGGACTTGGCTCATGAAGTCCGGTTCACGGGCAGAGTTGCAGGTCGGGTCGACTGCTCTCATCAGTGATCAGCCGTGTCGTCCGTCGTATCCATGTCCTCGCATTGCAATCTTCGCTATCAGAGGATGCAGCAACGATTTGAGAATTGTAATTGACCAAGAATCCGAACGAATTGACAAAGGGGGTCTCGGTTCTCTGAGTCGAACGATCATAATGAATCGAGATGGGATGATGGGACCCGAGCAGCTCCAGTGGGAATCTTCCCGGTGAATCGTGTGGATGACGCGCGAAGTGCTTGTGATTATTCGATCGAAAGGTTATTGTGTGATGTGTTTGAGCCTATCGGTGCAGATGAAACCCGTCTGGAATGTGGAGGGATGAGTATGACTATTGAATAAACTCGAAACCGTTTCTATTTTTCAAAGTTCGAGGAATCTCGGAGTCTCTCATCGTCCCGGCCTGTCCTGCGAACGGATATCATTATCAAACAAGATATCTTGTCCGAAAGCTCAGTCTATTTATCAGGAGACCCATCCCAAGAAGCAAAAGGCCTCGGTGATCTTTGTCAGCCCCGTCCGCGGTCGATTCCTACATGGAAACAGGGGACATTCATTTTCTTCATGTAGTTACCATTGATACATTGATTTCTCATCCAACAACAACACAAAACACTCTATTGTTTCGGCGGGGGTCACTATTTACAGAGATCTACACTCGGGTGATGGCTGAAGATCATAGTCATATTACCTCGCTTGTAGTATGACTGAGGTTACTGCTCGTGGTATGACTTTTATAACAATGTCCATGGACGCTTAGTATGTTTCGATGCTGCTCGATCTCAAGCCTCGATCGATCCGGACTAACGGCTCAAGGAGTCGCTCTCAATAAATGACATCTGTTTGCTGGTTCTGCGTCTCTGCTCGGACGGCAGTTAGACGCTGGTTGCCTGCTCGTAGGATGAATTGATCTTTGCTCGGCAGAAACTTCTCCAAAGGTTCTCCTTCTACGACTCTTCGCGAAACATGCGGCATACAGCAACATCGTTCCAGGAGATAAAGTGTTCCTGTGAAAAGATACATAATAATATTTGGAACCCTGATCTCCCGGTCAGCGACCATGAGCTTTCTTCGCCCGAAAACTTGATATCTCCATTGCCTCCGGACGCGGGTCTCTAGACCAATCTGTTCCCGTGTCGTTCGATAGGGCTTGCTCACCTTTACAGAGAACGGAGTCGTAGAAAACTTGTATTCCCGGGACCGTCATCGACAGAACTACCGTCGCCACGAGGGTCCAAACCTTGGAATTGAGTTCATCCCAGTGAGACCGAGGAGAACATTCCTCTCGACATATCGATAGGAGAGCCGAGAAAAGTCGCTCATCGTTCGTTTTTGAGCCGCACTCACCTGAACAGCGTCCTTGATGACGAGACACAGGCTATCTTCTAGAATCGAGGCGTGATACATGTTCAGCGCGATGAAGGGCGAAGTGCTCAGGAAAAGCAGGAAAAACTTCAGCCACAGGATCTAAGAGAATATCGATAAGATTTGAGTCTGTCATGAAAATTGGAAGGCACTGAGACCGCTTTGGTGGGTGTCGAATCCCGAACGCACAGTCAACTGCGCCACATCAGTCGCTCCAATCAGTCCCAAGCAGGTTCGCTCCCCCTCATTAGGTCCTAACTTCTTACTTGGAGATCGAAAGTCGTCATAGGCAAGGATTCCTCCGGTGTGTAGCTCAATAGGATGAGGAATATAGCGATCAGGAATATCTCAGCGCCATAACTCACACTGAGCAGACTGCAAAACATCGAACGATCATTCAAAGTCTATGTACTTCTTCCGGTACGAACGATTCGCTCCTACCCAAAGTTTGCCGACTAGTCGATAATATCGCGATATTCCGATCGATTCAACTGCGACGAAACTCACTCGGAGAATCGAGCATTCCACTCGAAGGGTGGCAGACAGATCTTCGCACCCGCGTTAGAATACTCGGCCTTATGGAGCATCGCAATGAAGCAGAAAATCTGAAAAGTTGTCCCAATGTCATAACTCGAGACGAATCATTCGTTCGGGTTGAAATAGAGAGTCGTTTATTCGGATGATGAATCGATCAAAACTTTCGCGAGTTGTGGGCTGAACTCACCTGGAGCAGAGATAGGCAGTTCAGGAAAACGGATAACATGAAGTTCCTTGTCACGCTATTCAAAATATGTGGCTTCTTCGCGGACAGCCACTTGTGCGCTGCAATAAATCGTACATAAAAAATGACCGTCCGTGAAATCCCCGGCCAGATAGACGGACCGTTTCAATACTTTTTGTACCTTCAAAGCTAACAAACCTGTTATCGACATGAGGCTCCCGATGTAGCCGAAGATTATGCACAGCGTCATAGATGATGACAATTTAGAGACACAGTTCAATGTAGTCCCCCTTTTCCCCACCGGTATTTCAACGAGAGCGTGATACATCAAGGCACACGAAGCGACACAACCATTCAGACAATTGATGAGCACGTACAGAGATTTCCAGCACGAGGGAAGGCAGAATCTGATCGAATGAATGATTGCTTTTAGTATTTCCGGAATCGACCTCCGTCAAGGAGAATGCCATCTCATTGACACGACTCCAGTGAGTTGGAAATGGGTCTCCGCATGTAAACATATCGCAAGAGAGGTAGCCTCGCCCAAGATCGCTTGGGAGTCGGTGTTGAGGGAGTCACTCACATGACTAGTATCAGCCCGACATTCATCATAAGGGCTACTGTTGCGAGCGTTGTGCTCAGCACCACGAAGGCATCTGACGTTAAGCTGTCCGCGGGAAGCATTTTGTAAACTGAGCAGTTCGCCTCGAACGAAAGAATCCAATTCTTGTGACCGTGGAACAGCATGAGTGATCTGGGAATGAAAAAATTCGGCGTGAAGAGCATTTGAATGGGGTCTCCGGACAGAAGTTTATCGCCTCCTGGTCTTCGACTCCTTCGGTCAGCCCTCCCTCCCCCTTGTCTCCAGAGAACGGATGAATCGGTGCCGAACAGGATCGCAGTGTCAGACGCGAGGCTTTCAAGCTTGCTTCCTGACCGTCAGTGAGACAGTGTATTTCCGATGAGAACCGGCTGTATGGGGTCGGAACGATGCCTTCCGACAATCTGCTGATGATGTAAATGGATTTTCTGCACGCGTAAAAATAGCTCCTCTAGTGGTCGGCGCATTCACATGTCTATCTGCGGGGATCTTCCCACGGGAAAGCCACATCTGTGAGACATTCGCTTGAGCTATGGGTATCCTAGGTGTCATTTGTATAGCTTGTCGTATTCATGGATACGTCCTACGTTTCCATATGTCCCTAGGGTTTTCGACCGCGGACATATCTTGTGGCGAAAATATAACCGAATGAATCATCAGGTGCTCCTTCATGAACCCTCATGTGTGTGCTCCAGCCGTACAGGGTTTCATTTTCGACTGAACGAGCTGGTCGAGAGGTCGAGTTTTTGTCGGCGCCATCCTGCATTGTGGAGTTGTAGAGATGCTCAAGCACAGGCTCTAGTATGCTAGGTCGGTCAGCAGCAACATCAGAAAATCCTCTCGCTGACAGTGAAAGGAACACCTGGCGGATGACGATGACGCGCAGGAAAAACCTGGGGGCTACGCAGAGCATTTTGAATACAAACAGTTGGCTTTCCGTCACGCGAAAGGGGCACCGGACCCGCGTCCCCAGAGAACAGGTGAACCGACAAACGTCGCCTGCCTTGCTTAGCCTCGGCTAACTAATCGCCACAGATGAATGCGAGTCCTCAAGCCGAGAAAATTCCTCCGTTGTCCTCCTTTTCTCCTCTCTGAAAGCCCTCCGGGGATACGGGACCCCCACCATAGAAACCCCAGTCCACAGATTGGGACTCCGACCAGAGGCAGGAGGGTCAAGTGGAAATCACAATTCGGCTTCATTCTTCTTCCCATCCAAATGGCTGTCGATCGTAGCATGTATCAAGGAACTAAAAACCCATAACGTGAGCTTGGGAACGGAGCTCTATCTTTCGGTCAGAGGATCCCCTCCGATCCTCCAGAAGAGGACTGCGACGCGAATGGAAAAAAGAGGGACAAGGCGAAACGACTGAATCTGAAGCGCTCTACAACCGAGCAGAAGAAAGTCAGTGAACGTAATCGGAGATGCATCTTTTGCGGAGTAACAGTCAGAACAATACCATATCCGTTACGGCATCCAAACCAGTGACAAAAGCGATCGACGAGAACCGGATCCGTTTCAAGTGTGCCAAGCGTGTTCGAGCCATTGTGAGGGAAGACAGAAAAAGAAGAAACAGAATCATCCATTCTGTGAGAATCGTCCTGCCTCCCAGCGACGTTCTATCGTTCCACGGCTGTTGATGCTATTCCCGACAGCTCTTCATCGGAAAACAATCGAACAGCCGAAGTCCTTTCGGAGTTAGCGAGCAAGTCGAAGAGGGATCTTCCTTAGAAACGGGACACCATTGGGCTTCCCGAAACAGATCAAAGTCCAGCATCGTGTGTTTGTCGCGGTTAAGTAGACCGTCATTATGAGAAGCGTCCACGAGGAATGAAGGCAGCTCACGTCCGCTTGGACAAACGTGGTCCCATTCAAAACAATTCTGTTCTCAGCCGTGGTTTGGATAGCGCTACTAGAAGAGGGCAGATGTTCACAACGGCTCAAATTGCAGCTTTGTTGCTAGCGTCAATCCGGAGTATTTACGGGTAGCGTGCTCGATTCGAGCCTCTGTTGAGACAACACGGGCAGGCACTCTACTATAAAGAAAGGCCCGAACCGTTTGTTTTGATAAGTGCTCCCTCGAAAAAAAATAATTCCGTTCCGAAACCAGCGGGTCGAAATGTGGATGTATCAATCACAGTCGAGTTCCTCCTCGAGCCGGACGCGGCTCAAGACGAAGAGCTTCAACGGCGCGGCAGCCACCGGATGTCGCCGTTAATTTCGCTTTGTTCAAGCGTCACAAGTGAATCGTGTGCCCTACGAACTCCGACGTAGACTATGGAGGGGTCACACTGTCGAACCTCACGGTGGAAAGCTGCTCTTTTTTGCACTGTGACAGGATAGAAGAATCGGGTCAACTTCTGGATGAAGGGGTCCCACTGAGCATTAAACTGTCACGATCCGTGGGTCAGAGGGGAATGAAATCCATCAAAAATATTGTCCCAGGCTCCGACGGGAATCGAACCCGTGATCTTCGGTTTACAAGACCGACGCCTTAACCACTGGGCCACGGAGCCCGACATCATACGTGTGGGATCCGACCTGCCGCGTCTGAAGTCGCGCGAAAGCTTCCCCGTTCTCGAACGTCGAGCGCCCGCAGTGGATCGCGCTGGGCTCGAGCTTGAATATGTGTAGTAAGTCGAGGAGCGCTCAACACCTTTGTCGCTCATCCGCCTCCGAAATGGGCAGATTCGAACAGAGTTTCACGCTGTTCCGACTTCTCCCACCGGATAATGCGTCAACTGATTCGTTCAGCAACAATGAACACTCCGCGTCGGGATTCCGGGTTGCGCGATTGTGGCGGCAGCGATGCCGCAATTTTTTCTGCAGGTAGGAATGTCTTGCGAAGAGTTACTGAACATCCCTCTCGACGCCGAACTGGAGGCATCCCATGTCGCGGGTTTTCATTCGCGGCTTCGATGAGGGCGGTAACCGAATTATTCCCTACATCGAGGCAAAGACAATGTTTTTGTGTCCTGTCAAATATTGTGTCTGCGTGAATTCGCTGTACCGTCGGAGGAGGGGGAGGGGGACTCCAGACTGTCCCATCTTCGTGAGAGTCTGAAATTAGGCGCGCTCCCATGGTCTCGTTGTGGGGGGACCCGCTGGCGAGACAAACAGGCAATCAGTCAGTCAGACAGTCGGGGGACTTACAAATTAGAAGCGATCTCCGAGCAAGCGGAGTGATATCCGAGAGGAAGGTTCATGGGTAATCAGCCGGGGGAGCCGACATTCTTATCGATCCCAGAAGCGGGCGACGAATGGGTCAAGTCTTGAGAGTCTCCCCGCTAGAGAATTTCAGAGACAGAAAGTTTCCAGACGAGATCATGTTTGTCTGAGGCTCTGGATATGGAGCAGATCCGCTCGATTCGGAAGGAACCTCACTCGGCGCATCGCAAGGGGCGACTTGCTCCAGCGTCTCCCCGATCCTTAAAAGGCTTCGAGAATATCCTGAAGGGTCGAACTCCGAGCGAGCGGAGTGAGCGACTAGCGCAGTCGCCTCGCGTTCGCTCGCGATCTGGCAGGCACGCGCCGAACATCTGGTCCTATAGGTACAATACGACAACGGACATCACTCGGCGGTTGGCTGAGCGAGCAGAATCGAGCCCGAGCATAGCCGGACGCCTCGCCGAGAAATAGCTTCGAATGAACGATTATATATGCTGTTCGTATTTTTCCAATTGCTCCCTGACCACTGACTATCGTTTCCTGACATCGATTGCGAGACTGATCGCAGGATACACGAAGGTCGGACGGATTTGTCCGGCTCCCGATCGGAGTACATTAGACTTTTCACCGTGACGCCAGCGGGAATCGGGAGGCTCGCCGTCGATACCTGAGCTCTTGAATCGGCGGAACAGCGCAAACTCGAATATTTCCCATTATCTATTCCGGTCAGGGAATTCGTGGAATTCCCTCCTCTTCTCGAAATCAACACCAGATTCGTTCTCCCTCTTGGATCTCAATGGCACCTGCCTCGGTCAAGAATCACGTCCCGTCACCGAATTCGGGGATTTGAAGCGAGCACTGCCGGGGGTCGCTCCGGAATCATAGGAGTCCGGAATTTTCCAAAAACGGGCAAGAAGGCGCATGGGCACCCGAGATTGTTGATACCGCATAGAGAAAATCAGTCTCCGTTCCCATGGATCCTAATCCGCTATCGGTCTTGATCGCCGGGAAGAAGAACAATTTCCAGGGCACGTACCTTTTCGGTGCGCGATGTGTCCGTTTCCTTACAAAAGCATCATGAGTATCGCAAGACTCCGTCGAGGAATAGTGAGATGATGTGCACCGACACTTGACAGCCCCTATGAATCAGGGATCCTGGACGAGAAACGCACAAAACGTGATTCCGTTGAGCTTTGCTTCTGAATGAATCAACGAGTGATTCAAAGTGTTGATGTCTTTCACGAGAAGAGCGCTCGTTCCTGTCTATCGCCCCGATGTCAGCGACTAGGTGACTGGATGCTCGGACGAACGAATGGCTCGTCGCCGCCGCCGGCTCGGTGGTTCGGATCAGGGGAGGACTGAGAGAGGGTAGAGTCCCTTGCTGCGGGACTTTAACGCATGTTCTTTGGTTCAGCCCCATGGAACTCGACTTGACCAAGAGCTATCATGTCACCTCGTTCTCATGTCGGCTGTGAGGGGGAGACGAGCGGAGACGATTCATCGTCGATTTTCCCATGGAAGACACTCGTCGCAGCTGAGCGCCGATGAAGCCCTCGAAGAAGTAACGAGCATCCTCCGGAAACCCAACGGAATAAGAGGTCATCGGAGCCGCGATTCCACCGTCCGAGTTAAACAGATGACTTCTGGATGTCTGGAACTCGGATCTTTGCTTTTCAGGGACTCGCCTCTACGGAAGTGATTCAGGACCGTGACCGTTGAGCTCTACTGAGGAGAGGGTCTAGTGGTGCTCATACTAGAGTACTCAAGAAAATCTCACAGCGAGCCGCTCGAGTCTCTCGTCGGCTGTATCGAGAAATACGGCAGGTTTCCTCCGTCTGACGTGCATGGGAACTCAGAGTGGGAAACATTTCCGTAGGGTTGTCGGTCGCGGTCAAATGCCGCAGCGACGGTACGTCGCACATCGAGGAGGCCCAGATATCTCGCAGTGGGGAGGTCACAGCCCGACCGACGCTTTGCAATAGTGACATGGATTGCCGAGCAACGAGATCACTTCCATGTTGGGAGAAAATTCCTGATCTCAGCGCCTCTTCCGAGTGGCAATGTGAAACCTTCCCGGTGCTGATCTTCACCGCGTCTACCATAATTTGATCCATTCATTACGGCGACGTACTGTCATTATGATCTGAAGAACAATAAGAAAGTGACAGCGCAGAAGTGGCTCTAGTTACGAAGTGTCCGCGCGAATTCTCTCCAACGCGGCGCTGGAGTAATAACAAGCGGATCCCTTACCCTAGCCCTATAGCGAGTTACAGAGCCGTCAGTGAGCAGCCTCTCACGAGCGAGCGGCCAAACAGCTCCGGCCGCGCGTCCACAGCCGAGTCGAGTACTGCTGCTCCCTCTCTCTTAGCAAGTAAACTTTCGACAAGCGGGCAGGCAGGCAGGCTTGCTGACTGACTAACTGAGAATACCTAACAGCAGTCATAGGAGAAAGGGACGGATCCGCTCGCTGGGTCGCCGATACACGACAACCTGATTATCAGCCGGCGATCCGGTTGTTTACTGTTTTCGTTCAACCAGCAGCAGAAGCTTCACGAGCGTCCAAGCGATACTCGAAGTTTCGTTGTGGTGTGTGAGCGTAGGATATCGAAAGAATTGGCGGCAGACGCTGATCTCGTCGAGGAACGTTCTCTCTATTACTCCACCGGAATAGCTTGCGACACGTGAGTTCCTATTATATAGTGGTATGGGTACTATGTACTTAATGGAAAGTACTTTCGATCAGCTCAGGGATATGTGTCGAGGGCTGCGATGCCGGACGCTAAGACAGTGCTCTGTCGAGTTGAGGTCCCGGTGGACTCGTCACTGCTAAATCGTCGGTGTTGATGCTGCTACACTTCCGAAGCTCCGAGTCTGAGTCTTATCGACATATCCTCGAGTTTCTCTGAAGCATCAGAGCTCCACTTCTCGTGCTTCTTGGAATCTCAGATCGGTGTGAAACCCGAGCAGGGGCCCGTGATCCCCACCTTGACCGGCTCGAAGATTTACGTGCGAGCTTCGCGAGGGCATAAGCGACTTCACAATAGCGATCAGCGCGATCCGGTGAATTTCTTTGGGAAACAGGGACTGTCCCGTCGGTCGAACGCGATACCTCCGAGAAATGACAGGAGCTCTGACCCTGTGAAAACTCTTCGGGTAGCCTCATTCCAAGGCAATCTGCCCCAAGCCCCGCGAAACTTATAGCGAGCCACGTGGCTACGCTTGGGATCTCCGATGTCAATACTGACTTTGATACCGACTTCGACCCCCGAACGGAGGATATCTTTCATCCAACAGAGAATAGGCGACGGAGAATCTCAGCTTTGCCCCCTGATATTCAAGTCACGTATCACATGATCAAAACATGCTTGTCCGCAATGACTCCTTATATTTCATCTTCCAGAGCAAGATGTCCCTCCGCGCTATGATTGGGTTTGGTCGTCTCGTCGCCTCCAGGAATACTGGCGCTCTGAGAATCGCGACTGTTGGCAACGCGCCCATCCTGAAGACTCAAAGCGGTAAGGAATTCGGAGCATGGGTCCCGTTAATGAAATGAAATGTGGTGCAGTCTTGTGCGGCGCGAAGCAATCGACGGACTCTAAAAACAATCTGAGACGGATCTTAGTGAACTGCGCGGCAGTGCTGTTCGCTGTGCCGCTTTGTTCACCCCTAGATCCAACATGTGACAACACGAGTGGCTCGATGGATGTAGGTCTAAAATAACTCGTCGAGACGAACGATCGCAGCTACCGTGGATGAGCTGCGCGCTTATTTCATTCAATATGTAGATCCGGCGGAACCCACAGATTATTTGGTATCCATCTAGTTTATCGAGGGAAGGAGATGAAAACGGAGATAAGAACGGATAAAAACCATCTCAAAAAATCTTTAGATGACGAGAAAATGATGGCAAGACTGGAGCAAAGCGATGAAGTTTCGGGACGATCGGTGCTGACGATTCATAGCAAGCCTCTTTCTAGCGGCCCTAAGCAAGGGTGACCTTCCTGCCCGATAACTGATCACGGAGTCGCGATGGCTCGTTCGGTTTTCAAGTCGGATGTTTTCGTATCTCGATAGATATTCCCGATTTGTTTCCGGAACAAGAGATCCGCTGATCAAAGCTTCAGCTGGAGCTGTCTGGATGCGGGAGGGCGCGCGACTTTAGACGTTTTTCGAAACCGTGTTATCACTGCGACGTAGGCCTCCCGATTTTCTCGTTCGTAGGAGGACCATCTACGGTAAACAAAAATGAATGGCTATGCTTTGACACACCAATGGCGTCCCATGGCGCCGCTAGGGGGTACGGAAAGGGGGCAGAGATCTCGGGGAAAACCGAAGGATACATACTCGACGCTCAAGCAAGGAATAGCTGGGAAGAACTCGGACTTCTTCCTCCCGCCCTGTCCATCGCCCTTTCACTCGTAACTTTGAGTTTCTCCTCGCCTCCAGTGACTCCGATACTCACACAACTTCTACATCGATCGGCGACTCTCCTCAAGGATTTGAGTTATGAGGACCTGGTTGCGCTCATCCGAGGCGGCGATCTCCACCTGATCGATGTCCGAGAGCCCAACGAGATTCTGGAAACCGGGAAAATCCCCGGAGCCATCAACATTCCCCGTAAGTGAGCCTCCGTACCATGCGGGAACTATCGCGGATTTCCGCTGCAATCTCTGAAAATTCAAGTTATCGAACGGCGTCACGCATCGCGCACTCGGGGTAATTGAGTGAAATTAATCGCTTCCGCTCCGAAGTTGGTCAGGTTAAGCCCGCGCTGCTTCTGGAGGACACGGTCTTCCAAGAGCGATTCAGATGTGAAAAACCCCAACGCCACGACTCGAACTTGATCTTCTACGGTCTTGGTCCAATCAAAAGTAGGGCCGCAGTGGAGCTCGCACGGAAGGCCGGTTACAAAAGGTAAATGTCCAGTATCTGGCAAAAAAAACTGAATGAAGGCTGGCGTCTCCGATCGGATCTTCAATCCACGCGATCCAAAGATTGTGTGAAAGTAGAATAATAATCAATGGCGAATCTCCGTCTCCGACAGCTGCCGCGAATACAGCGCGGGATTCGAGGACTGGCTGAAGCACGAAGAGAAAATCGAGCGCATCAAGGTTTGATCGGCTCGGTTGAGCACCGGACGCGATTGGAATCGGTCCCATGGGTTCCTACAGTACTTAAGCTTGACAAAGTCTCCAGAATGGCAACTATCATCAGGTCAAAAGAGTGAAGCCAGCTGACCAGGCAATTCGCTCGGGATCGCAGTCTCTGAGTCACCCTTGTGACCTCAGACAAGAGTCCTACTGGCGTTTCGAATAAAGTCTCCACCTGTACAGTTTTTCTAATAAGGCGATATCTCTTCTCTTTATTGAATGCCGAGGTCAGACAGGGGAAGAATCGGTCCTGGACCACGATCAGAGAAATGAAAAATTCAATGCATAGAATATTGAATTCCAGATTTTAGGGATCGATATCGACAATGAAAAATTCCGCCCACAGAACGCGGGAAGGGTTGGAAACAGACTGAGAGCAGTCAAATACAGTTTTAGCATCATCGACAAAGACACTCAATACTCGCAGGCCCTGTCCGCCGAAAATAATTCACTGCGGAGTCGTAACAAAACTACAATCTCTACGAGCGTCTCGACGCCATGGGTCGTCCTTTTGGAAATATACAAGTTTACATTACGATGTATTGATGATTTGGCATTGCGGTGATCTGTACAAGCTTCCTACGGAGTTTGGGTAGACGACCTGGGTATGCTATGGAGAACTTCGTCGAGCAGCTGGAGCGCGCGATGCAAATGGACTTCGATCCAGCACGGTGTTTCTTTTATCGAAGACCTCGGATAGTCGGGCCCCCAACCTTTAACAAAACTGAGCCGCAGGATGCAGAGTCGACGGAGATCATCCACGCCGACACCCGCGGCAGCGGAAAGAGATATCGCAGGGGCGAGTCCCCCTCCCGGGATGAGGGCGTTTGGTTCACCCAAATGCCCGGCCACGGCGGCTGCTTGAGCTGCTGCAGCTGCCTGGGCGTTCTGAGCTTGTGCTCGCATCTGAGCGTGACACTGAGCCAAGTCGAAAACCTGCAGAAAAACACGCCATCAGCATCGCCATTCCGCATGTCGGTAGAAAAGAGCACGGATAGATCGTAGCTGCGTCGTTCACTCACTTTAATATAGGCGCACGGATATATCTTATGTACGGCATCTCCGGGCTGTCGACCCGCCTCCCGGTCGAGGTAGTAACTTTGAACGAACACCGAGTGATCCGATAAGCACCTGTAATTAGACATCCGGGCTTTATCACATGAACTGTCGAATTGGTCCCTGAACAATGCAGAATCGGCTTTGCGCCCGAGCGCCAGCTCTCACCTGAGCCAAACATCACCCTCGCCCTTGATTTCAAGCTGTACACCTTTCCCGATGTGAAGTCGAGCTCTCTCAGAAGATTCGCTCCTAGGGACGAGGAGTGATCAGAACATCTCAGTCAGGAATTGTATTTAGCTATACCGATCCGGAAGATGCCGCGTATTCATGCGCCATCAAATCAACGGAAATTAAGTCGAGTCTTTCTCCCTAATAAATACCTGCGGACGTTGGATAAAGCGCCCAAACAGAATCTGCTGCCCCCCGAGGGATCGACGAAGCCGTCAACAATAACGTAATTGTAGTTCGAAGGAACTTTGAAAGTCTCTCCCACCTGAACGAAAAAGAAACGAGCTTGTTTCAGTTCCAACGAAACAAATCGCATTCACTGAACACCACCGAATGAAAACCGAGAAAAACAGGCCAAGAGGCACCATGAAGTCTAATATTCCGATGAGAATTTCCCAACCTGCTGGTCAAGCTCGAAGTAAGCAACGCTACACCAGAACTCGGGTGCCGGCTGGGAGCTCAAGAGAGGAGTTGAAATGACATCGGGTGTGCGTGAGGGTCCGGGTCCCTGGAAAGCGGAAGACAAGCTCAGATTCAGCCGCGTATCTATCAAGATCATCGGATTGATTCAGAGCGGGAGAACTCATGCCCGAAACCTCAGGCGCGGGATGATTCGCACCTGCCAGAATTGATTCGCATCCCCTCCCGTGTATTGCAAAGTGCTCCCCCCCGCGGTAGCGGTCGGCGCTACTGCCGGCTGAGCGTTCCAGGTTCCGTTCTGATAGCTCGTCCCGGGTGGAGGTGTGCGAATTTCCGCCTGTAAGAACCCGTTGGTTTTATGGATTTGTGGTATTGGAGACCGAGGGGGCTCCTTTGATTTTCGGGGAGCGAGATCGATAACTGTTTTCCCCTTTCTCACCCCTTGAACCAGGAATGGATTCTGCCGATTCTGTGGTGCGACATGATAGCCAGGAGCTGCGGGGGTGGATTGCGCCGTCGCAGCAGGATTGAAGTACTCGTTCTTTATACTTTCAGACTGATCACCGTGATTGCTGAGACTGCCCCCGTGACTTGGAATATTCCCGTGGTTCTGCAATGTTCCGTGACCACCAAGAGCACCGTGACCACCATGCGCAACGACCGAGGACTCCGGGGGATTCGCTGCTGTATTCGGCACTTGCAGGGACAGTGAGGAGAGATCGATGCCCGGCGAAACGACGCGTTCGTAGTGATAGGGATTCACGCAAACGGAATCGCACTTCAAATCGAAGGCGTACTGACAATACTTTATGTGCTTCAATTCATTCTTATGCAGATCCGGCCATCGCCAAATTCGGGCGTAGACCACGTGCGGGAAGCCTTTGCGGCCAGCCACCTGAAGAAGGGAGAGGAGGTTAAAGTTCGGGAAGATCGTTCCAGAAGTTGGGAGACGCTTCTGATAATCGGTCTCAGAGCTGAGATGCCGCGCCATCCACTTGCTGAGCGCGTAATTTCCATCGAGATCGGAAAAAATTATGAATCGTGATAGGTACCTGCAGTCTACCGTCGAGCGTCCTCTGGATAGTCACACACTTCGATGGATGAGCCCCGTTGGTCGTAATCGCCGTAATGAGCGAATCCAATTCATCCCTCTTTTCTTTGAGTTTCTTGACGAGGGATTCTATCGCTCTGAAATCAATTCCTCGAATGATGGGCTGATTTCGATTCGTCCGCCCCATCGATCGGGGCTTCCGGTAGACTACGGACGATGCGGGTGTCAGGCGTTGACTTGAGACAGGAACTTACCTCTTCGCGAAGCTTTCGCTTTCACCCCCTTGTCTGTGGAACATCAAACTGTGCACAATAGAGAGACAAGCGTCCGCTGAAGTCGGTGCCGCGGAACCTGGCGCCGCAGGGGGCGCAGCTGCGGCCGGAGCCGGAGGAACTTCCATTTTTCTGGAGGAGGGAACATGAGATCATGAGAATTCCCGATATTGCGGAGATCACGTTGCGGCGATCTCGAATTTCAAGCGACACAATCGAATCTTCCTATAATTTTCCCCGCGACTACCACAGTAGCGGCGGGACAGGGTATGAGCGTAGACGCAATTGCTTCCCCGTGCAAACTTGACTCTCACAAACGCCTTACTTCTTCAAGTGGGAACCTCAGTTTTCCAACATGAATAATCGGCCGGTCACGGGGGTCGAACCCGCCACCTCCGCGACGATGGCGGCGTCACCGTAGCGCACGGCTGCATGCGTCGCACGCGCTGACCACTCGGCCACCACGCGAGTTATCGAATCATTCTGGGAGAGCAGAAACTGTTCGACATGCGATGTCGAGTCGAAAGTTCGGCTATCCGATCGGAGATGGATCGGATCCGGCCCATTCGCGTGTGGTATGCCCTGTGTCATCTGGAGACTCACCCTTGACAAAGAACTCAAAGTCCAAGCGACGTGCTCCTCGCTGTCGCGCTATCAGACATTTGTCACCCTTCGACAAGGAATTCTCAAGCTCCTGTCTTACGGTGCGATCTTCTCGGATCGATTGACGTGGGCGTCCAACCTCAGTTTTCGGCGATCTTCATGACTTGAGAGTCTTGAGACGCAGCGGGGAAAAGTCGCATCGAACGAAGTCCGCCGATTTTATGCTGAGACTCGAGTCAACGACTTATCCGTGAACACCGGTTATAGTAGTCACCTCGGGTAACGATAGACCCGCTCAAAGAACGCAAACACTTGTTAATTTCGCACTGATCAAAGCGATGGATGTGCGGGTGGTGCTCCTCTCTATCGATACACAGTACTGGACGCCAGGCGGCGAGCGCGGTAAGAGGAGCAGCGTTTCGAAACAAGTCAGTGAGTACGCACCGGTGGCGCGAAATTTGAAAACCGGGTTCCCGTCGAGCACGGAGCAGGTCATGAAGTCAGAGGATCGATGCTTGCGACCGATTCTTTGTCGAGCGCCGCGTGATCGAGTCGAGGCGGATCTCTATAGATATACTTCTTAACTTTATTTGAATTTACTCAAATCTAACAAGTGATTGTGAAACCCCTCAGATGTCGTCGATGAGTCCGTCCGGCAGCTCCGGTGAAGCCTGGAGCACGTCGCGCTCAATCGAGAAATCGTAGTTGTACTGACAGTATATCTGGCTTGCCGTCTTCAAGTTCATCGGTGTGAGCTGCAACAGCAGTCAAACTAGAATCGATGCACCTAGTACTCAAACTCCAAGAAATATATTCCGAAGAATTTGAATACTTAATTGGATATGCCTAGATTCAAAGCGCTTCTGAGCCTACCCACCCGGGTTATGGGTTGGAATACCGGACTGAGTCTGAAAGGAACGTCATCGATCCAGCTCCTGACGCATTTCGTCGTCGTCACCGTTGAAGTTTTGATCGTGTAGACTTTCTCGAATAGGTTGACTTTCGGATCGGGCTTCGATGCTCCCGCATTCATCAGAACCGTTTTGTATCCGATGACGAGATTGTTCAGCTCTCCGGCGACCAGGAATCCATCTTGGAGCTTTGAGAAAACCCCGATTTCTGTTACCACCCTACAGTTGAGGATGTCTCGTCCGACCACCGTGTAACAGAGATTCCGTTTCCGGAAGGCTTTCTGGGCTGCAATCGAGAACGCGAGTCACTCAATCGCTCGGTTCCGCGTCCCGATAATGAGAGGAGGGCGAAGCAGTCATATCGTTGAGTGGTGAGACCATTTTGGGCTCACTCATGGCGGTACGCAATATCGGAGCGGAACGCAAAATGGAAATCATGGGCGAAAAGAGCGGTGAACCCCACAATATAAACTAGGTAAGAATGCGTAAAACACCGAATTGACTGTTCTGGGTGACAGAAATTGAGATGACAACAAAAAAGTGGACCCAACCTGTACGAGAACGATGAAATCAGAGGTGGGAATCTCTCGCAGTAGACGAAACGGTCATCCTGTTCAAATTAAAAAATGAGACTGAACAGGAGGGCTCGAGAAAATGGAACACAATTCTGGAAAGGATCGTGACGACTCGGTATCTCAAGCTCACCAGTGTCTCGAGTCAGCGATACAGTAAGAACATCCGGCGTGCTCGTCGTCTGCAACGGACGTTATGGTATTTCCGATTATTTCGAGGCAACGTTTCTCATGCTGACGGTATCGGACTACGGATTTTAGGTTCAGGAACGAGGGGACGGCGATGCGACGTCCAGAAGGGGGGTCACTGTTGATCGCTTCACTCGAGAGGATTTGAACCCAAGATTCTGAGTCATCTTAAGCTTACCGTGACGGATAGACTTTCGACACAGTCGAGAGAGAATTTCCTGCTGAAGCATAAATAACGAGTTTCCTTCTTTCCGAAAAACCCTTTATCCTTCCATAAATCGGCATCCTGCCCTGTATCGCCTGGAAAAGATACTTGAATCTGACACTCCAGCAAGTACCAATCTTTCATTGGGAGGGGGGGGGTGGTTTCAATCTACAAGGAGTCGATATCCTGGAGCGCATAAGAAGGCACTCGGCCTGATTGAACACTTGAGCTTGGCTGGGCTCTTTACCGGTTAATTCAATGACAGTGAAGCCGCTTGGTGCGTTGCGCGCATCTTCTACTATGCACAGATCTGTGATTGGCTCCATCTGGAAAGCAGAGCTTTTACCCAAAATGTTGGCTTCCTGATGAATATTCGACAGAGTCTTCTAAATACTCGCTGCTCATCCCGAGATAGGTAAGAGGTACGCGTCTAACGCTCCCGTTGTTGAGGCTGAGCTCTCGACAGAAGACATGGAAGTTCCTTCCGAGGACACTAACGCTTAGGCAAATCGAGATGTATCTAAACAAACTCTACGTCAACTACACGCTTAGAGTTTCTGATCAGCTCACAGTTTTTGGCTATTTCTGGTGACAGATTGATGTGCTTTTGATTCGACGATCTCATATCACCGCAGCATGCTTCCGTCGCCCTCGTTTCGAGGGGCAATGCCTTTCGCCGTGAGCATTCACATCGTGCCGGGATTCATGATAATTGTGCCGCAGATTCTCCGCGCGGTGGATCACAGCAACTTCTCCGAGACGTGAGTTCAGCTGGCTTCGGATTGAGAGAAGGAGGCAGGAGGAGACTCGATGCAGCTGCGTCTACCACAGCAACATGTCAATCCACTCTCACCTCTGCCGGCCCTCTCTCCTTTCAGAGACGGGAGCCACCGATGATGACGATGGGCGCGAAAACTGAGCACGTCCGCTTCCCTTCCAGCGACTACAAGGGGTTCACTGGGGAATTATGCGGGCCCGAGAGCGTTCTCGGATGACGTTCGAAATGGAAATTGCGGGATCGGAAGACGGCGGTTATCCCGTTTTTTCGAGTCCGAGCGTCGAGCCGTCGCGTGCTGTTCATTCGATGGGAATAGAATCGCGCATTCCGTTCGTTAAGAGCAAAGCGACGGATCTTGGATGGAGAAACCGTCTTTCGAGGTCTTCGAAGCCGGCTCCCTGTGAAACATAGAGATTGATGAAAAGAAAGCGCTCGGAATGGCACATACGATTCTTCTTCTGCAAACGAGTGGGCCTGAAACAAGAACCTACGCGGACTTTGAGAGGTAGGCTCCCCGTCCTTCGAGGTGAAAACAAATCTCGGAAGCACGAAGCGTCGAACTCTGCGGTGTAGAAATGCGATCGGAACTCGATACTGGAGACATGCAATGCGGGGACCTGATCCTGTACTTATGAAATAATATCCTCTTCCAGCATAAACGAGTGCATGGAAAGAATCTGTCACATTTTCGAGGAGCATCTGAAGAAGCAGAATCCAGAATCTCCGTCGATCACCTATGATATCTCTCAATTGTTCGAATTCATCGACCAACTTCATGACATGACATGCCTGGTAAGTTCAGGCTCCTCGTTACCGGATTCTTACGGGCAAAGGATCGGCATCTCACGCACGCATTCGATCCAGAGCGAGAATCAATCGGGAGTCTTGAACTGATTACTTATCGTTAGTTCGATCCAACGGGAACTTTGTCTGGGCTCCATTCGATCCAACTTTTTTTCCGCTTAGCCGCCTTCTTGAAATTTAGATTAGTATCGGAAGTCGTCGTCGGTGGCCGGATGCCACTCAGTGCACTCGACTCAGTCTCGTACTCGATCCATTCTAGGTCCATCAGAAAACAACAAATGTTTACTCGCCGTACACGAAGGCATGGATTAAAGAGAAGATATACGCTCTACTGAAGCAACAGGCCTCGTGATACTCTCGAGATTCAGGCATTTCTTGTACATATGAGAAGATTTGATCGAGAATCGCTGTGTATGTGTCAATGAATTATCCGAATAAACTCGACTCACTCGGAAAATCCTCTTGACGTAGCTCGATCGCGAGGGAATTATTATGCAAAGATATCGGCAGACTTCCCTGGGTCGTCATCCCCATACTCTAATGGCTGAACACTTTCCATGATTTTCAGCATCAAATAAAATAAGTCCCGCGATGAGATTTTTTCCCAGACAAGAGGAGAGCGTCTCCACTTTTTTTGTCCCAGTAGCGGCATTCCTTGTGCTTGTCGACTCCGAATAATCATCGTGGGCGCGTACGAGACTTTATTTGGGAACGATCTCTATTTATTGATTCTCTCAATTATTCCAATCGCCTCCATGGTCGTTCCATTCACGACGATCAAAATAGGAGAGGAGTCCTTATTCATCACCCGACAGATCTGGTCATCAATCGGTGACGTACATGTTTTGGCATAGCTGATCTATGAGCTTGGGCGGAGGTGTGGGTTCTACAGTCACATTTGGTTCACAGTTTACGAACCAGCTCGGACACTTTTTGAAGTGGCAAGGTGCACACCGCCAGCGGTTTGTCCGGATGCAGGTTTCACTGAAGCAGAGATCCATCATCTGAGCGAAATATCGCAGCTCGATGTAGGTGTCATTCCATGTTTGATCCGGTATATTCTGAAAGAGCAATCTTTGGTATACGGTGAGATCCCCAAGCGGAGGAGAACTGGCCCATCGGGGATTCCTTCGAACCCTTTCTCAGGTTGGTGATCAGTCCATATCCGCTACCCCGTTCGAAACTCCGAAAAGTAAGCTCCGCAGAGAATATAAGCTGGCACCGACTGTGATCCTTCAGAATGGCATGCGAGCTATCTCGTCCGAGTACATTTCCGTCACTTCCTCAACGAGAACCGACATATCTCCAGATAGCATCTCACTCTCACAATACCGAGCGGGCACGCGGATTTCGTTGTCAGCCCCCTTCTTCGACTTCCGACTTCGACAAAGTTCCCGACACGGAGACTTCGAGTTTTCCGATATCGAAGGTACTCCGGTCAGGGCTGGTCAACATAGCCCCAGACTGCTGGAGGGTCTGCCCGAGACCAAACCTTTTCAGAGCATCCCGTTCCCCGATGATTTGCATCGCGTTTCCGTATTCATTCCTTGAGACGCCTTCTACAACGGAGTGGCCCGACATAGCGACAGGGACTTTCTGCGGGCTTGTTCGGCTGACGAGGGATCTTGGTAGGATTCTACCGGTGAAGGAGACTCCCTGTTTCAAATGTCAGTAATCTCCGCACCAGTCTCCCCAATCGTCTCCTCATTCATAGTCTCCCAGGAATCTGATTCTCCCCAGTTCCTCTAGGCTGAGGATATGCCCTGAACGAGCATTGAAGGAAGAGAGGGTCCCGAGCCCTCGGCACAGTCAGGGTTCGGATTTTCTTCGCTCACAGGAGCAGAGAGTTTCGGAAGGGTACAAGTTATATGTTGCTGAATCGAAGAGCTCTGATACGGAAGCGGCGGAAATTCGGCGCGGAAGGTATCGGTATATTGGGGTCTCGGCTGAACCCAACGGTTGCCGAGGCGGATCGCCGATCCAGAATCAACTTCGCGGGTTACGGAAATGTAGAGCTATGCTTCCGTCCGCAGAATGAGGTCTCTCTGTCTAGCGCGGTATTGATGTCTCCCTAGAGAAAAATGATTCGAATACTGGTTCTAAAACACCCTCAGCCAATACGGAAACAAGAATCAGCCATCTAGTCTTGGCAATCTCACCATCAGTGCGAAGCCCCAGAACTTCGTCCTCGGTGGAAAGCGCTTCCTCAATTCATCGGGGAATAAACCACAATACTTTATCACCCATTTGCCTCTCTGGAAGAACAGGGGCACTGAGGGCAACAACGGAGCCTCCTCGTTGCAAAGAGGGGTTTCTATCATATCTTCTTTGTCGTACGTGGAGATGTCCTGGCGAGGTCGCAAGCGAACGCCCACGCTAAATGTGTGCAAGCTGAAACAAACTTGGAGAGAGCAGCGGATTGTGGCTCACCTTCCGAGGTTTCATTGAATAACAGAGTATTCCGCACCATGGTTTCCCATGCCTATTTTAGCTTACGGAGTGACACTCACACATCAAGAATGTGACGTATTCCCGGAGCCTGAGCATCTTTTGTCACCTCGTGATTCGAATCCTTCAAATCCTGCCCGAGATGCGAAGCGATGAGCGAGTTAGAACATCGTTCCTTGCTGAGAGACATTCAGCGATCCTTCCGCGGCAACATAAGTCGATCGCTCGGCTGTCTCAGCTATGAATCAAATACGTGGGCGTCGCTCTGACAGCTTCCGTGACGGGACCCGGGCCTAGTCTGGATGACGTGAGGTGAGACGACAGCACTTATTTAAGGATCGGAAGGTCTAAAGTCCCAACTTTCTTGAATCTAGCTCAACTGACCAGGAGCCTCGATTGAGCACAACTCTCTTCGGGGCTCATGGATTTCCCCGCGCAAACATACGGAACTGCTTCCGGGGCTCGCTTCCCTTCGAACGTTAGCGCTTACTATCACTCCCAGATCGACGAGGAATCCGGTCGTCTGGGGAATCCTGACTAATGAATCTCGAGGTCGTCGGAGATGATGTTTTCTCCAAGTTTCCTCTCCCATCTCGATCTTCACGAACGATTCCCGCCGAAGATCGGAATTGTTCCTGGAATTTATCAGAGCAAGAATATTCCCTCATTCCATGTCCTGATCCGTATCGGATTGAGGCTATCGATCGACGGTGAACTCAGTCTTAGCGGGTCTCGGAAGGGACGCACATTTCATAGATACCAGTCTGGAAACCGTGTCGAACGCATGCCGCGACGCGTACCGATTTCTGATACCTGTAAATGCGCCACGCGGAGTCGATACGATATTCGCCATTTGCACAGGTGAGAATAGCGGATCGATAGGGGATACTATACGCTGGAGTCCGCCAGTCGATCGGAGGTCTTGTCGCTCAAGATCGAGCGTCGAAATTAACGAATATTCCTCTGGACGCGATTTCCTTTGGGGAAGAATTCAAAGCGCTCTATGTATACTTGAGGGACGCATAAACTCTACAAGAAGGCAACGAGTCGGCGAAACCTTCAAATCCAGCCGGCGGGCATCAAAATCTCACGCTATGAAAATTATCATCCAAGAGAGCTGTGTCCATGAGAGTTCTCAGGCTGGCTACATAGTTTTCCCGAGCGCAGCCGTTCCCTCGTGGAAATGTAGCCAGGAAGATATAAATCACTCGATAGACTAGGTACACGATTTTCCGGTCATGATCTACAGGTAACAGCATTTACGGAAGATCTATGTTTTGATTCAATAACAGTCGATGACACCGCGCCTTTTAGAAGCTCAGAGGCAACGTAAGAGATCAGAGGCACTTGCAGCCATCGCGTGAGCCGTTTTTTCTCTCGGCAACTCGCCGAACATCATCATCCAGGACAATGATGTCTCGCCAATCAGAAAAATTCTTCAAGGCATCGATTTGCGCCCTTAAGCCGTTCCACGAAGGGGGTAAACACCTTCGAGAATCTCGTCATACAATCCTGCAGAGCTCCTTCGGCAATATTCTCGTTCAGAGGCGTCGGTGAACCTAAGAAGTCATCGGAGAAAGGAGTCGAAGGCAGCTCAGATGATTGGGGACAGCTCTCGAGACCCGCTGACGTTGTTTGAGCGTCTGACATGAACTTTGATTGTTTCGTCCATTCTAATCCAGGCGGCGCCACTGCGTTCGCGGCTAGAGTTTAGAATCACCGGGGTCTCCGCGTGGGGTGAGGGACGCCGGGGACAGGAGGAGAGCGAGGAGACGGGCAACCGGGTAAAAATTAATAATTTGTGAATGACACACAGGCCGTCGCTGCTACTGGGGCGCGGGGAGAAGCACGGCGGAAGAAAAGGGAAGAACCAACGAATTTACCCTCGCCCTGGGCCTCTGGGTAGAGGCTGAGAATTCTCCTCTCGGTCTCAATCCGACTTTCAGGAGTGAGCGCGATGAACTGATATTTAACTCTGGATGCGAGTGCTCGCTCAAAACGAGTCAGGAATCACAACGCGAGCTAGTCCGCCGTCCAGTCAGCCCCAGCGGAGCGGTGGCAATGGTGATATCCTGAACTTATTCTCTCAGCGTTTGGGTACGCTTGCGAGCGGATATTCTTATCGATTCCGGAACACTGCCAGATGGCCGACGACAATCTACATCCTCTGGCGACGTTGAACAGAATTCATGGAGGATGGCGTTCTGAAGTGCGTGGGCTCTCCAGAGGGATTTCGGATCGAATCCACTTCCCTCGTTTCCGCCTCCCCATCGAGAGGAAGGGTTTCTTTGATTTCCGGAATCCGAGCCGTATACAGAACGCCATCTGCTCGCTACATGCGCGTGATACTCGTATTCTGGAGAATTCTTTAGAGCGTTGGGCGACTTTCCTGAAATCTTTTCAGCTAGGGAAGCCTCCAGTCGTGCAGTCGGAACCCGCTCGAGGAGCGGGGGAGCATTGCGCATTATCTCTGAACGCGGCCTCCGATGGGAGAGATGTCTTGGCCATTGTAGAAATGACGCCATGAGGCCCAATGGGTAAAAGGGAGGGGAGCGTGAAGTCTGTATAGATCCGAGACTCGTATAGCCTAGCCATGAGGCTGGTGGATGGTCGCTCGGATGGCTGGCTGGCGGTTTGTAAGCGAGGGACGACCCCATAGACTAACTACGGGCCCTTCTTTCGCTCTCCGTCGAGATGGCATTTTGGACTCTCCCTCACTCGGCTCTCGGGAAAAAGCTGCGTACGGCCTCAAATCCATTTCGGGGTACACGCACTCTAAATGACTCATACGGAGTCACGACCAAGTCAAGCAGCTCGAGAAAAGCCGTGGCTCGGCGCTCGCTTTTCTGATCTATGCGTTTCCGCGGAAGCTGCCGAATTCACCGGCGACGACAGAATTCACTGTGGAACTCCGCCGACAATGAAGCAAAATACGATGCAGTCGGCTTAACGACTTGTCAGCGCCGCGCAACGTGACACACGTCGTGAACAGAATACCGCGCAACGATAAGATAAATATCGTGTTTTTTATGGATCGCCCTTGTCGCGGTCGTGTAACAACCTCTGATTTCTTTATTACTCATTCGTCAAGCATTACGTGTCACGTTTCTCTGTCCGTTCAGAAACAGAGGAAAAACCCCTATCAGATTCGGACGGAAAATACGGCAGCCCCGAATGGCCATCTACGCGAGCGATCGAATTATTTAAATAGCTCGTGTGTGTTGAGCACGTGTATCAACTGTTGCGAATCAAATGATGTTGTTGCAGAAAAGCAGGGGGCCATGATAAATGAACGGAACACCGATGGGGAGGAACAACCACATCATAAATCTTCCCAGCCGGGCTCGTAACCAATGTTCGCGCGTGGGGTCGGCGGAGCCCATTCCCGCACTCCGCTAATTCTTCCCCACCGGCGCGGCGCTGTTAGCTCCGCAACGTGAACTCTCGTGGGGTCGTCCCGAGAACAGTTCAGAATGGACGTTGGAAAAGCTTTCCGTTCGAGAGCGATTCGAAACGTCTTCCGAAAGAAATGCGGCCGGTCTGACGAACACTTCGGAGCTCACACTCTCTTCCGATTGGCTGTGTCACATACGCCGCTTATTTCTATGGAGGAGTATGCGTAGAGCGCCTCAGTGTAGTGGGGTTGGGTGGGCTGGATCGCGGCGCGAGAGACTCGTTTGAGAGAGCAATATATGATATATGTATGTACACACATATATGGCTGGGGTGTGTACGACGACCTCTGCCTACCATCCGCCTTCTGGAAACTGCCCCTGCCCGCCTGAAGCATCGACGGACGTATACGCCGTATACAAAGCTTGAACGACAAAGTGCTTGTTATTGGTGCCAGCGACAAAGCTTCCGAGCAACAACCGTCCATGCGCCATGGATGATCTCACAAGCGCGTCTCAGGTAAGCGATGATCTCATTTTCCAATAGGTAGTCCCCGCGCGTGAATTTCTTCGCGGTTCTCGAATCACGCATGCTCCAACGCGAGTGTCGCTCTGCGAAATTGTGCATCGGTCCCACTGTTTACGTGGTCGTCCTGTCCGTCAAATTCGGTCAGTCGGTGCGTTCGTCGTTCACCTGCCTCGGTATCAATGTGTCCCGGATCGGAGTAGCCGCTTTCCCGTTTGTCGGTCCGCTCACCCGCTCGCTTGTCCCGCTGCTCGCTATCAGCTAGCAGAGCTTTCCATTAGGAATGATTAATGATGACTTCCCCGCGGTGCTTTCACTGACCGCGATACATTTGTCACCGAGTGAGACCACAGGCTAATTCTTCGATACACACGGCCATTATCGTCACCTGAGACAACACGAAGTCGAATGGATACGTGCTTCCGTTCTCTTTTATCGTCACATTGAAAGAGATGAGCGGCATGCTCACGGGAGTGACGGGGATCGAACGGGAACGCTTCTAAAAGCGAGCACAGGCTTTTCGAATGTCTGATTTCTGTCCACATTGTGGCGGAAACGAGTCGACGCCGATGAATTCTTCTCACGGTATCAATAGCCGGTCGCGCATTCAAACGAAGCGAGCGGGAGTTGTGCACCGCTGAACAATAAGCGCGACCGATCTGAGTCTATGACTCGTTCACGGAAGCGTTTCACCGTTCTCCGCCGTGTCCAGAGTTAGGGAGCTAGCCAAACTTCGTGCTCTGGACTCGATTACGTCCGTAGATACGCCTTCCACTGGAGAACACGTCCCGACACTCCCGCAACGATCGTAACGCGTGCTGTTGAAGATTGAAGACATCGCGTTGGTTGACCCGCAATAGATACCGCTCTCCGTCTGAAGCGGCGTCGCGGCGGGAACGTGAGATCTCTTCCCTCGATCAGATCGGGAATCGTATATTCGGTTGATAAACCTCCCGAATTCATTCGGTTTCGCTCCGCCGGTCGACTTCCAGGTTGACTCGTGAGAGTGATGTTCGATAATAATTCATGATATTGAGGGCACCGGGACCCCTTGAGGGAGTTCACGGGTGCGTTCAGAAAAAGAGCAGGGAACCACCCTTATCATGCCATCGGTTAGCTCACGAGCTGTTCCGAAGAAGACCCGAAGATTAAGCTCTCCCTTCGCGGAGTCATTCCGATATTGTCCAGGCTTGGTGATCGGACGCGGTTGCCAAAATTTCCAAGCGGCGCGAGCTTCGCGTGCAGGGTCCGAGCCGCAGTTCGCAGCCGGCGAGGTCGAGTGGGAACCATTGGAAATATTTCTCCCGGAAAGCGCTAGTCCCGATCCTCTGCGAATGAATGCCAGACCTAATTTCCACGGCCCTCCTTCAGCGACTGACCCCAGGACCTGAATCCCGCACCTAGCGCCTGAAGAGCCGCGGTCTGGAGGCGGGCTGGAACATGACACAACAGAATAGTGGCGCGAATAGATATGAACCCTTTACCGGGCGTGGACGGCAGCCATAGACCTCTGAAGGAGAAGTTCCTGACCTCCCCTGCGCCTTCCGTCGGAAGTTCGTGAACACGGAATCACGATGGCTCAATCACTTATTCCTCTCCGCGGCCGACATTGTGTACAATAGGAGGGATTCGCGATCTCGGCCGGAATTCATTCTGGATATTTTACGCCTCCCGCTTCCATTTATCACATTCCTCGTCGGAGGTATCGTCGGAACTTCTTCCTAATGAAAGAGCCGATGGACGAAGTTCGGCTTGCACCGACGGGATCAGGCAGATCGAGAGCGGAGTCGCGCAGCCAGCGAAATCTCATTACGGGTTTCAATTTGGATCACCTCGTTATCCTGTCCTCTCCCCGTGATAATACGCCAATCTCCATTGGATTAGTCCACCGTAGCGATGAGCTGGAGACGAGCTGGAATCATTTTTCTGCACTGCGAACATCGAGTAGCGATGGTTCACGAAATACCCTGTTGTCTTAGCGCAGACCTCCGAACCATAGATGTTTCGAGTCCGCTGGTAGACGATCGAGGAAACTTCACAGATGGTTCTCTGCATTCCGTTATCGGTTTTGAGAGATGCCGGAAGTCCAAAGTGAATCTCGCGTGACACTCCCGATTCCGATGCGAGCCGGCGGATTGGAGGAATATCGTCCTGTCTGATATATGCAGATCCGCCGGTAACTTCACAAGCTTGAAAATATCATTCCGAAAGGAATAACGCTTCTGAGCTGTACTGGGCGCTTTCCGAAATCTGCGGAAGCGACTCGAGCCAGAGCTGGTTGCAAGCCGCGGCAGCGGAATATTCGGGAGACTTATCACGAGAGGAATCGAGTTCTCGGTGTGAATGTAGGCCGGAAGCCGCACACGCTGGAACTTCCGGGAAGCGCGCATCGAATAGGCTGTGATATTCCTCCGGAGGATCGCCCGTAAATGCTCATCCCTCCACCCTGTCCTGCTTCGAGTCGGGTCCGTGATATACAACTCCGTTCAATAAGGGAAGCTTACACGGTACGATCTGACGGCCCCGCTGTTCCGCTGCGACGTACGTGAACGGGACTCATGCGGCGTACACCTGCACTCGATCCCGGAGATATGGGAGGCCGCTCATAATTCCATACGACAAGCTCGCAGAGTTTAGGATTTCGAAATGCGGAATCTGCTATCGAGATCCGTGAAGTTCCCTCGTCGATGTCGGGACCAACTGAAGTTGGGAAATCACTCCTCGGGACTCCGAAGACTGTCGCATATCTCCGGTCATATTCACGGAACTCGCGAATCTCGAAAGCTCGACATTTGCCGCCGCGTAGCGGTTGCTAATGACTTTTCCGTCGTCAGTGAATTATTTATCCGGAGAGGAACGCGTCTGCTTGCCGCGCGAATTCTTAACAGCGGCAGTGATGATAGCAGCAGCAGCAGCGCGCAATTCCGCAGATCGACACTCTAATTCGAAGTGACATCTACATTAGATTCCATGACCGGGTTGCTTTTAATTTTCTCGCGCGAATGCTGTTCGAGGTCCACGGACGTGCTCAGAACGCTTCTGGCTGTCGCTGACTGAGCCGCGCAATTCCACTGTTGCGAAATCTCTGATTTTGAACGGGCTCCTCGAACAATCGGATGCATGCACATCGAGATGTCAGATGCATCTCTGATGCAACTCAGTCACTTGGGGGAGATGCCTCCGAAACTATCGGGCCGAATAAAAATAGACGTACAAGAAAAAGTACGTGTTGAACTCTGGCGAAGGTCATTGAAGAATCCCTGCCGGTTCGAGCCATATATAGTTGTTGTTAATCAATGGGGCCCATCGAGACACCGAACGTGTTGTCGCAGCTGCTCGGAGCAAGAAATAGGAAGGGAGCCCGCTACCGTCCGGGCAGCTGCCAAGACAGCTACACACGGCGTCCACTACGAAGGAGGACCAGGGGCGAGTGGCCGCAATGCTAACTGGGTCATATCAGAGAGAAGAGCAGTGGGAGATAACATTGACTCCGAGGGAAGGGCACCACAAGCAGCAGTAGAAGAGGACGGACCGAGCTTGGTCCATTATTCAGTAGGAGAGATCTGCCCCTCTACGCGCCCTTCGACGTCCGTTCCCCTGAAATCTCTACATACTCGGCTTTAGAAGAGCCATCGCCCCCACAATTTGCTGCCGCGTTCGGTCTCTCCACGATTCGATCTGCAGCTCCTCTGGCTGCAGGACGCAGTACAAGCGATCTGCCAACCAAGGGTGATTACATTCCTCGGGTACGAAATCGCCGCAACTCCTGTAGTATATATGAGCGACTGGTTACGGATCAAAACAGGGGCTGTTTTGGATGAAGCCGCGCAGGCTCAGCTTGCCTTGCTCGAGCAGCGTCCGCAACATCATACCTGCTCTGGGATTCATCAGCATTTGAAACGGAAGCTAATCTCTACCTCTGTTATTCCGTTGATCTGATCTGACTTTATGGCTCGGGTTTCCGCATGAGATTATTGTCATATTGACATTATCTCTTCAATCTTCCCCAAATCCTCTGCTGCAAATGCCGGGCTCGCCGCCCCGAGTTGATGGAGCTACGCCTGGTAAATATTTGTTTATACATAGTGAGGGAGTCGAATGCCGGATCGGGGGGAATGCACGGATATATGCGGTACCACTCTCGACTGTCCGTGGCGGAGTCTTCGGGATCAGTTTGTGGCGTGGCCAACGAGCCCCAAGAAACAAACACGCGCCCCACTATACACATGTGATTCGCCCGAGTGCTTGTGTGTATCTCCGGTTTCCATCGATAGCCGGCTGTCGGAACCATTTCGTGAGCACGTTCGTATGAGCTCATCATCGACCGGGCTCTCTGTCTCCGCGGAGCTAGGCGTCTTTTGTTCTCTACTAGCTCACGGACCAAATAACGACGGCCACTGCAGCCTTCAACGATCGAAGCCTTCCGCGGCTCGGACGCGAGTTATGGGGATCCCAATGTGACCGATTGTCGACGTCGCGTCGTCTCTGTTTTATCATTCCCTGCGCGGAATGTTGTTCTCCGTGAGGATTTCGACCGCAGATCTCGAAAATGGGCCCCCTGGAGAACCGAACGGGTACCGTCGAAGGAATAGGTCGGATTCCTTCAATGATAATCAGGTCTCTGGGATCCGGATCATTCTTTGAGACCGGCGGGAATGAGCAGGAATGAGCAGGAACAAGACAAAATCCGAACCATGGCTCGTAGCAATGGCCGCGGACAATGCGCCTGTCGGACCAGTGAGCATTTCAACAACCGCCTCGCTTCAGCAGTCGTGGATTGATTCGAATTTATTTCGGGCGTGACCAGCCATTCCTCTCCGATGCGAACGGCGTGTGCACGATATTGTGCAGGCTCTGTACTCTCCTAGCATACACGACATTTCCCCTCTCGGGCGCTCTCTCGTTCGCTACGCTGCTCGTGTGTCACTCTCAGCCCATTCAATACTGCGAGCGCTTCAGATCCTTCCCCATATTGGGCTCCAACTCCACCTCGAAGTCCAGTCCGTTATCAGTATCTGATGCCTGCGGGAGGGAGGGATGTCCCATAATATGTATACTCTATGAGAGTTGGAAGATTTGTATTCCAACGAGAGGCTCCTAACTCGATGAACGGAACACAATGGTGAATCCAAAATCGTATCGGACGCGATGCGCTTCACGACGAGTATCCAACTTCCACGACAAAGGTCATTCGGGATGACCGAGCACGAGACTTTCCGAACATAATGAATCGGATGAATTCTTCGAACAAGATTTTTTGTAATGCTCCTGAAAAACAGCCTTTCTGGGCCTCCCGTTGTGAATCGAGACGTGAGATAGGGAACGAATGAGTTATGTGATGGAGTCATGCATTCGTTCAACGACGAATTTCGTTGAAGGCTACCAGTGTACGCTTTAGGCACGTAGCGCACGTCGTAGTGAGCCGTGACTCGTGACGTGAGTTCGGCGATGACAGTTGTTGTGGGAGAAAACACAGGGCATCGGGGTCGGGAGCATGACAGTCTCCCGGTCGAATATACTTTGGCAATCGAGCGGCGCAATGTCAAAATAGCTTGAAATGCACGTCTCCGAATTGATTGATAAGCCTACGTCGGCCGACTTCACTTGACCTCGTACACCCTCCTCAACATAGGTACCAGTTTCTGGCTCCGGATGCCCCCTCGGTCGGAATATACCTCTTCAAATTTTGTTCCTTCCCTACTACTCGCGGACTATTCGCGTTGTTTTTTTCTAACGAATCCTCCCTCTCGAGAATCACCTCAGCAGTCGGCGACGATTACCAAGTTCTCGCTGGTGTTGCTACAAGAGGTACAAATGTAAGGAGGGAATTGATTTCCTCTAGAGTGCCTCGGTAAGTGAGCTCTTGACGAGGGCGAACGAGGTGTTCGATTGTTAAGGCTGAAGCATTTTATTGATCAGTCGATTGTTTTAAAGCGGCAACAGCAGCGACAGTTTGCTTCCACGAATCCTCGAGCACATCCGTTCGCCAACTCTTGCACCAGCTCAGAGCATGAGTGGTCGACGAGTTTCCCGCTGATGAGCTCCGCAATTCTGGAGGTTTGAAGCAACTGAGTCAGCGTGGATCAAATCCTCCACCTAGGGGGTAGCGGCGACGCGCTTCAGCCGCGACAGGAGGCTGACGCGAATCGATGTGAAATGACAGCGTGTGTTTCTGCCCTCCAGGTAATGCTACAATTATGTCAGGCGGGAGGGGTGGACGCCCCCCTAGGCTTGGGAGCAGGTCTGGGTCCAGGTCCGGGAACATTGACACCACCCGCATTAGGAAATGGCTCTGCGTCGAATGGGTTGGTAGCTGGAGTTGGCGAATCGTTGGGGAGCCCGCTTGTCGTTCGCAGGTTAGTGAACAAAACATTAGGTATGATTGAATGACTCACTCAGAGAGAAATCTCGAGAATTCGCATCAATCAAATTGAATGGTTGCGATTCGGAGGTTCAATCAGCCGTGCCCCCGGCCTACCGTCAGGAGGGAGCTAAAACGCAGAAAAACGTGTCGAATTTCAGACGACGTCAGTGGAGAGAGTCGGAGACCATGATGTTCATACGCAGCTGGGAAAAGCATCACGATGCTCTGAAGAGCCACCGAAGAAACGCCCATATCTATGAAAAGGTAAACTTCGCTGGCACTCGCAGGCCACTCCGCTTCGGAGATCGAAACACTCCCTTGTTCAACTTACTCGAATCCTTGCTCCCTTCCAGATGAGGGATGAACTCGCACAGAATGGACTCAATGTAACTACCCAGCAGATCAAGGTCAAGATCGACAATCTCACACAGGCGTACAGGTCAGTTTGGAGCCTGAACTGCAGAGTCACTTCAGCGCTCGCTATCCGAACCTTACAAACGATGGAGGCCACCCTCAGACTGCTGCGATTTCGAAATTAAATTGCTTCATTTTCCACAGACGGACGATGCGCGGTGCACCTCTGCGTGGCGGAGACATTCGCTGGTTCCAATATATGCACAGATTTCTCGGGGACAACTTCATTTACCAGGTGAGAATGATGAGGGAGGCGTAGGTCGAGAACGACTTGGATCGTTCTGGATTCTCGAAAAACAAATCTACGATTTATTTTATTTTCTCCAGAGCGATTCGTCGGATGAGCCCGTAGCTCTCGTTTGTCCGAAAAGATCGGCTGTTGGCAACTCTCAACAGACACCAGAAGAATCTGGCTTACACGCGAACGGAAACGCTGAAATCACAAGCACGCTTAAATCGAGGATCGGTGAGTGATCCTGAGCTCACTCTCTCATTTCTGTGGAGATGTCGGAAAGATCCGGGCATTTGGGCTCCGACGCGGAGAAGCCGGCGCATTCTGAAGTTTGACTTTCTCGTGCAGGAAGTGAACCTTCAGAGGTGACATCTTCTTATGTAGACGAAGAACGGAATTGTTCAACGACACCTCTGTCGAGCTGCAGCTCCGGCGGAGGTTCGGCCGTACTAAACGCTCTCCAAACTTCTCTGGCGAACGCCACCGTGGCCGCAAGCCCCGAAACAACGACGCCCACGGGTGGTATCAAGAAGGAGATCCTCTCCAAGGTACGGCAAGCCGATCATAAGGAGTCGCTTGGTGACTTCATCGGAGCTCTGATCGAGAACGGAGTTTCTATTCATCTCTCTGCACGGAAGGGAAGAGTGACCATCTGATCAGATCGACTCGATCGTGAAAAATCGAATTCCCAATTTCAGGACGGTGGGGTTCTAGACGCTGAAGACGATATGCAAGACGGCAAAGTCACGAGCGAGAAGAAAACTATCCGATTCAGCACTGTGGAAAATCAGCTGAAGAAGTCAATAAGAAAAAAGTGTTGCCACCATCCTGACATTCTTTCACGTGAGTTGACATATGAACACCGATCGATGTTGAATCTCTGCGGCAGACTCCGGTCCGGTCGTGGAGCTCTCTGACTTTTCGGTCGATGAGTGGGCTAGAGTGTCCCCGGGAATATCCGTGGGTGAGCCTTCTAGCTCTCGTTGACGTCGTCGTCGTTTGATTCCAGGGAAACTGATAAAATCAGTTGAACGAATGCTTCAAGCCCAGCTTCTTGTGGCGCAGCAGGCGCTCGTATCGCAGCAGCAGCTCCAACAGGCTCTCTTAGGCCAGCAACAACTAATGCAATGTCTCGTAGCTCTCCAAGACGCTACGACACGACAGCGGAACGTCTAGTGCAAGCGTGCCGGAGGGAATCGCGCCGCTAGAATTTAGATGGGCAAGCAACCAGCAGAAAACTCTTCCACGTTGAATGCGGTGGCCATATGATGCACCACTGTCCACAGAACGCAGTACTAGACGATAATCGGCCGCCGTGAAATAGCCTCTTGAAAGCACCACGAAACTTCTTCCACCGAACAATATGCAGTCTCCAATATGCCTCTCTCTCTCCCTCTCGAAGGATGAAGTCGCTTAGAAATTTTTAATAATTTTCACCATGTCAGCAACCACCGTCTCCGCAGGTCGGCTCATGATCTGCGGTCGAGCCCCCTTGGAGGAGCCCGGTGGGGCCACTTACGATTTCGCGTCCGAGCATACTCACTCCGTCAGGAGGGGGAAGAGCGATGCAAAATCTCACACCCGTGCAATTTCATTTCCGATGACTCCAAATTTCTATGGGAGATCCCTTGCAATCACCAGCAGTTGCAATCGAAGCTCCCTTTGCTAACGAAGCGTCGCCTTCGATTTTCAAACCAATCGGAACACGCTTGCAAAATAGAAGTTCTAGTCAAAATCATTCACCCGAGATGATAGCTATCAAGTCTGCCCTACTCGGGTATATACCCGGAGCCAGAACCAAGGGCTGCGCGAAAAGCATGACCAGGAAGAAACGTAGAGTGAAGAGGTAAACGGAGCAAGAAGGAGTTCACGACCGGAATGACGGGGCTTAAACTTAACAGGGTCAAACATGGTGATGATTTGATGATTATTTCGTCAAAATCCGGGCCAAGCTCGGACAGTATGATACAGGAGGGGCTGCCGGTCTTGGATAGTTCAAATTCTTATGCAAGAGCACCTATTATACTTCATATATAATTATATAAAAAAAAACACAATAATAACAACAATATACAAGCAATCGACCGAGCGCAGGTGGAACAGGGTAACGACACAAAGCGTCTAGACATAGAGTTCTTTCCCGATACTTTCAATTCTACGGTTGAGGAAGTATGAAACGACAATGAAATAATTCTCCGAATCGAATAGGAAATTCCCTCCCTCAACTAAGGGCTATTCGGTCTCTGAATCCTCGACGAAGCAGATGAAGGTGGTGAAGAGCCAGAGTGGTTTCAGAAAACACATTGATGCAACGATCCCTTTTAGAAACGCAATGAGGCTGCCCCTCCAAAATGTAGAGAATCGCTATATAGCAACTCATAGCAGCGTAAGCAGAAAACAGACGGACGAAGCGCAGAATAACCGCGAGAGGTACAGTTTTGAGTAAACATAGAAGTCAACTCATTTATCGATTGGAATGTCGAAGACAACCGCAATTGACACAGCGTTCCACTATTGGGCTGCATGATCATGTATTTTTACCTTCGCGTTCTAGCAGTCGATTTAATCCGTTTTTTTCCGTCGTCGATTCTATATCCTTCCCCGAAAATTCTGAAGACCTCGTTATGATTGGGGCAATGAGGGACATATTGTTTCGAGTGAGTACCGAGCAAGCGACAAGGTCAGACTTCCGCTTCTGGATCACTCGAATGCATCCGAAAGGTCTTCAGATGCATCGCGTTTTCTCATCGCTGATCCTCAATTATTGTGGTATTCTTTCCGACGACCTCCGTCGTCGCCCACATACGCAGTTTGAAGCAGACAGTTTAGGGTATCGAACACCGAGTTTCGAACACCGCTTTCGGATTCGACTTCGGATAGCTTGTACAGGGTATTTTGGAGATGCGCCGTCTCGGCTGTTGTCCCATACACGGATCGTGATCATCGTCTCTAAAACTTAATCATAACTACTTGGGAGATGACAATGACAATGAGAACGATGACAATAGCGATATTTTATAGAGCGTTCTCCTTTTCCGTTTGTTCGATTTGCTTCTGCAGAGCGAGGTCTGGAGAGGAAGACCTCGGCTCCAGAACCTCGAGAACTCGAATGATAAAACAACGCAGGGTCGTGTCTTCGAAACTTAGGTACGATAAGGAGCAAAGCGAGATATTGTTCGAACATTGTAACAATCCATTGCAAGGACTTCTGTGGGATCATCAGCCAACTCTGGAGATTCGCATCGACGAGAAGGAGCTCGGATTGACGAACAGCGTCGCAAAAAGAAAATCGACTATTGCGAACCTTCGCTACAGTCCCGATGAATAACAGATACAGGGTAATCAGACCTCCCGAGGTCAGTGAATATATTCGAACAGGGTATTTTCGATGAGTTTCACGAAGCGGAAGATGTTAAAGAGCCAGCACGAGCTATATAAGACGCAGAAATATAGAACGACACTTGGATTTGGAAAAATCAGCAAAAATTAATGATAGACCGCTCTAGAGAATGAAACAACGTTTCGAAAATGGCGGAAATTTCCGTCACTCAGATATGATAATCCACTTCTACGCCTATTATAATAAAATATACACCGGCTGAATTACATAAAATTGTCTTGTCTCGATTGGTATCTTGCGAAGAGTCTGTTTGCATTGGGCGGGCCCCGTCTTCCGAAGATTAAACACGAAGGGATATAATTTCTTTTAGATTGTTTATTAGATCTCTTATAAGAAGACCGCTCTCCGAGACGCCAGTGAAGTGTCGTATCAAAGTATAAAACAGTCCTCACGTCATCTGACTTCAATCTTGCGCTCGCATGGAAATTCTGAATTTCCCGATAATTGGTCACTCTGCTGAGGATGGCACGGCTATCATTGAACTCCGACTAATATTCGCCGACTAAGAGAGAGGAACCCACAAGATGAGACTGTTTGGAAGAACCATCCGATCTCGTGACTCCCGTGGGTCCGGGTCTCTCCAATACCCAATATTTGAGACAATTCGGGACAAGCGTTCGGAAGGGGGATGGTAATGGTTCCGAAAACCGTCAAGTTCCAGAGGAATGTTGGAATTTGAGGGAAGCTACGTCGAGTCCTCCAGTCAGACTCGAAATACTATGCATTGGTTCAGAATACTAGGCTCAGGCAATCCAAACCCGAAACCAAAGTCAGGAATATTTCCACCTTTCGAGGCTGGGACCGATCACAGCGTGACGGAAGATGGGGGCAGTACCTGATTGCACATCAGGAAATAACGGATATCGGTGAAGAAACTGTTGAGGTTCTCCGAAAACAATGTGAATTCCTGCGGAGAATAGTTCGATCATTTCACCGCTTTCGTCGAGTGCAATCTATAATCGCTAACACGGTTAGTTTCGCACTCACATCGTGGACGCGGAAATCCCTGATGAGTTGTTCCTTCTGATAGCTGCTGAGATTCTCAATTTGCGCCACAAACTGGGGCATGTAGCCCTGGAAGACAAGCGACGGGTTAATTAACCCGCCCTGTTGTGAATATCGCCGATAATTCCCGGAAAGACATGGTACCGATATGCCTGATCCTACCTCTTGGAATCTCTCCGGTCCGATGGCCAGCGCCATCGAGAACACGATTTGCAAGATTTCATCTCGGAACAATTCGTGACTTTTCGCCAGCAGAGCACGCATGAGGACGCCGAGGAATTCGCCCATCATCAAACTTTCGAAAATAGGTCTCTTGTATAGCCTCCATTTATTATTAAGCTCTTGAAGACTCCGGAGGACCTGAGGAAAACGGGGAAAATGCTCCGATTGATTCGATGTTCTCGACTCGTCCATGAGCCAGATTCTCGACTGAAATTCAGAGAGAACGTCCTTCTCTTACCTCTCCAAAAGCCACGATATCCCTTGTTTGTTGAACGAGGCACCAGCCGTAGGCCTGCATGATGGCTACCAGTTCGGCTTTATTAGCGACTTCACCATCGACAGCCGGGCTTCCTGTGGCCGAGATCAGATGTGCGACATTCGTAGAGAAGAAGTGTCGCCAGTGGAAAGCGAGGATGTGATGGAAGAGCTAGAAAGGTGAAAACGATTGACTTCCGATCCTTCCCGATCTCCAAAAAAACATGGGTATGGCGAGGGACAGATGATGAGCGAGCTATCCATCCAAGGAAATTCAGGGTTGTTATGTGTCTTCAGCACGGCTAAAATGTCCGTCTAACCTGTATCAAGGTTGGTCGCAGCATTTCCCCTTCGCCAGATACTGTGCGGGGCCACAATTCGAGGCTTAGTTGAAGGATCCGTCTCAAGTATATCGAGCCTTTCGACGGACTCAGCAGAATTTCCCGGAGTAGTCCAAGGAATCCCTGGATTAGCGAACAAGATTCATAGCTCAGATGAGACCGTCGAGCATCGGTGAATTGAGTCGGACTACCCATGCCCGGCATATCTACGCGCATGAACTTCCAAAATCTCATTCCCCCGATCCCTGTCATATTTGGGAGTTTCCGTCTTTTGGGCGTTCGAAACGCAGCATGACTCACCTCTAGATACGGAACTAGCCGAGCCTCGGTTACGAATGCGCCCGCGAAACCCGTCATCTCAAGTAATCGATCGATGAACCGATCAAGCTTGCTCGGAATGATCTATAATCGGAAAGAGAGCCTTCCGTTGGAATTTTCAGATCTTTTCCCTCATCCCCCGAGCAGGGAGATGACTCGTGGGGATGCGTATCCATGCGTCGACACGTTCGATGGGAAGAAAAGTCTAGCCTCACCTGGAAACAAGCTTTGTAGAAGGCCATGACGGTTTGGCCGATTTCAGGTTCGATATGTTGACCCTCTCTGAAAAGCAATTCCTCCGACGCCTCCAGGAGTTTTTCGAAGCATTCGGCAACGACCGCTTTCGATTTGTTGGTGCAGTTTGAACTCAGGGCTTCCACCATCGCAGTTGCTATCTCGAAAACCATGGCAGCCTGACGACATTTGGATCGTTCGATGTGGCTCTGGAGATGATTCTGATTTGGGGAAACGGCTCCGTTCATTGTTCGGTAAGCGTTATTGCTACTTTGATGAGCGTTGCTCAGTAGGTTCTGCACGACGGCCTCGTAGTGGGTTTTTCGAGTCTCAAACTTTTGGTCGATCGCCTCCACTCCAATCCACGGCAGAAGGCAAATGTTCTGTAGACTGACGGCGCAATTCCTCAGCAGGATCACGTCTTCGTCACCGCGTAAACCGCAGATGATTGGCACAAGCTTCGGGTAGAGACCTTCCATGAGGTATGGGAATCGAAACTTCGTCGTAAGCGACATCAGGACGGCCGATGCAGCCGCAGACGCTCCCCGCCGTTCAAGGCACGCCTGCCCGGAGAAACAGGGTTGAGAATGAATTGTCAAGTCGCTGTCAATGTCGAAGCGGAATTCGATCCCCGAATGGGACGAATCGAGAGGGATTCCTCACCTCGAGAGCGGTTTCTGCGACCTCATTCACAATTTGACGTCCAACGGAACCTCCATTGTGGGCGTTCTCTGTCATGGAAGCACCAAGCAGATGCATATACGACTGTATGCTCGCAAAACATTCTTTCTCGACCTGCAATATTCATTTGACGGTTATTCAGGCTGAGAAGACTTCCGATGCGGAATCGGCGGACAGACCTCCGCCGTGAATGAGATTTTTCGATCATCTCGAAATCGTGATTGAGCCGTCGAGTACGAGATTTTACCGAGACTATGTGTTCCGACGACTGATGACCGCCAATGCGATCAGCACTCTGACGCCGAATATCCGAACACCTTCGGATCACGCGCAGGAGATCACCCACAAGCTTAACCGGAATCTGGAAGCAAAGATCAAATGAGAGAGGGCCGAAATTTGCTCTTCCAAGGCATCTTCCTAACTCTGATCGCTTCCGAAATTTCTCGGAGACTCGGAAGGGGATCCGTCCGCCCATGACTTACCTGAGCGGCATTGATGCAGTTCTCTACGAGCAAAGATAGAGAGGAAGCGAGACATCCGATCGTTCGCGCCAGAGTGGAAAGATCTTTGAGTTGCTCGATTGTACAGCTCTGACCATTGTCAAACGATGCCACGGCTGCATCCCACGCAGAGATTATATGCACACAGGTTTCTTCCACGACCAATTCCGATATCTGAGGGTACGAAAGGGGGAAACTCATGATGGAAACCACGCTAATAGGGTAACACGGAAGGACCCGACTCGGAAGGAAGGGAAAACTCACCTTGGAAACAACTTGGAGACTTTTGCTCAAATGAATCTCCCATTCACTCTCGTCGCCCTCGGTTGACATCTCCATAATCTGCGGATGGTTTTTGGCCATAACGCGTGACATGACTTCGTTGAGTAGATTCCCCAGTATCTGTTTGTATTTGGCCGTTTTCCCGGACGCCTCGATATTCTCGAAAAAACTAAGCCAAGTGTCCAAAGAGACCAGATATTGCTCGCCATCATTGAGACCGAGGGTGAAAGCCTATCGGGAAGAACGATTCTACTTTTCAGAATCAGAAGCAATGCAGGACGAAATTATATTTCCTCAATTTTTTCGCATATTCGGAGTCCAGTTAGCTTCACTCGTCTGGACACGCCTTTCCTCCTTACCTGAACTAAATGTACAAACTGCACAAGGGCAGCGTCAGGGGTTTCGTCGGGGAATCTCGATAGATGATTCTCGATCAAGATATGCAGGAGCTCGCCGAGTTTTGTGACTAGTAAAGGATCGACTTCGTGGAGACGCGGATGTTGTACGCCGGAGGCTTGTGTGATCAACTGCAGCACACGGAATGTATTCTGCAGGGGAGATGGGAACTTTGAGGTGTAGATCCTTTCCCCACTCGAATCGACTCGATGAAAAAAACGACAGCCGCAAACAGATAACAACGCATCTTACCTCGAAAATTGCGACTAGACAGGCCTGCGTGTCCCTCTGCGTGAAACACTTTTTATAAACAAGTTCGTTGATAACACTGACGGCGGCCACCGCGGCTCCAGCATTCACGTCGGCTCGTTCTCCGCAACCGAGCCAGATGAAGCCGAAGAGGGTGTTGAGCATTGAAGGTCCGAAATTCGAGCCAATGGATACCCAACTGCAACGAGCAAGCTCAAACGGTAAGAGCTCATGGACCGATGACACTTGCATGATAAGCGTTCCGGCATTTCTATTTTGATTTTCCTCCAATATCGATCTGATAGAGGACTGAATAATGTTGCCGGGATCGATGACTGTTTAGAACGCGCGGAAACGGCGGATCCCGTATTTTTCGAGAACGGAAATCGAACCTAGTGAGCTGCTCCAGGGCTGAAAGACACGCCAGAGCTAGTTCCCTCGAAGGAGCATCCAGCGGCTTATGAGGGTTCAATTGTTGATTACTCTCCGGTTTGTGCAGATGTGACTCGACGTTCAAGTGCGTTCCGGATGCGGCTCCTATATACGCTTGAGCTACGGGAGCAGAACTCGTCAGGGGTGCTAACGAGGACTGGCCCGACGAAGGATGCGTTGGCGATGGAGGGGGTGTGCACGATGAGGTTTGACATGACATCAGAATCTCGTCCAATACTCCTGAGAATCGAACGCTTGCAATTACTCTCAGGAGGGAGGAAAGGAAGATAGCGGGAAAATTTAATGATCAGGTTTTCGATAACGAACTAGACGGCGGCTTACCGGTAAGGGAGGTCAGCATTTGAGGAACAAGGTTGTTCAGGAAATGTTTGAGTTCTTTCTTCCGTGAAGCGCAGAGATCATCCTTCGGAGAAATGAACTCTTCCGACGTCGTCCGCAGCAACAGAACTCCCACGAGTCTCGTCGGATGATTGTTTATCAACTGGAACCGAAACTCCATCACCAAAAGGCCTAGCCGAGGAGTTCGCTCATAGCCGAACAATCGCAAGACTTACTTGGAAGATATTGTTGAAATAGTCCGGATAGAAATGTGGCCAATCGAATTTTCCGATATCGACTAAGACCTTGCACAGTTTGTTGCGGACGTAAGCAACCATTTCCGATGATGGGGAGAGTAGAGCCGAAGCCACGGATCGCCGGATAAGAATTTTCTCGTCGGACATCAACCGATGCCATGAGCGTTGCACAGCACCTGCGGAAGTCGGAAAGAGATGGTTAGGAGCCGTAAGAAGTCCGGCAGCTAACATTCCCTGAGGTTGAAAAAGGGAAAACGATCATTCACCTACTCTCTGTGCTCACCTTCGATGAGATTGACCAGAAACATCAAAACGTAGGGATCACGCGTCAATGACAGGAATGATAGACACAGGTCTAAGGCATTGCTCTGCCTCGAGAAACTCGTCAATTGTTCCTCGATGATGCGCTGGGAATTGGGGAATGCATGTTAGGCGCTCCGATTCTCTGTGATTCCCGGCTAGACAGAGCTTATCCCACGAAATCGTTTCTCGCTATGTGTGTTTGACCCACCTTCCTTTCATTTGTGCAGGAGGCTGAATAAAACTCTTCTAAGAGAGCTTGGAGGGCTAGAAGTATGTTACTCCGCTCCTTCTCGTCCGTCATGTTCCTGCAATACCAGAGCTCATGAAAATTTTGATCGAGGATCTCTCCATCCGGAAATTTTCATAGAAATCACGTCCTTGAGAATGGTCCCAAATATGAAGATCCTATCGCATCCCGAATCCTGCCTTGGATGAGCTTGTTAAGAATCTGGAGGAACACAGAAGAACAAAGGAGCGCCCTGAGCAGCGCACCGCTTCTATAAGCGGAAACCATTCCGCTGGAGTGAGTGCTTCTGCTCCTCACTGCTCATAGCCTTGGTCGAGCCTGCGGCACCTTTGGATAATTTCATTGCCTCCTGTCGACGTCTCCTCCCGACTGGAATGTTCACTGACGAATGTATTGACATATAGTTTTCACAGACCTCCATTGACATTTTCACACACCTCATCGAGCGGAACAGGGTGGAGTGACTACCAGACTTTGACAGCTTACGCCTATTATAAAAATGATGCGACCACGAGCGGATAACGGACTCGCATATCCGGGTTTCTCGTCGCAGAGAACAGTGTGGCTCTCGATCGGCAATCGTTATGGCGAAAGGTTCTTGAAAGTGTGGAAGGTGTGGCCTCGAGGACCGATACGCTCCAGGCGACTTCACAGTCTCACCTTATAAGGCCGGGGCCAAGACTGATCGCTTGATCGCTCACCCACAAGCCCTACTACGGTTTTCGCCGTATATTCTTGATTTGAAACTTAGAGAGATTCCCAAAGCCATAGAATATTCATGATCTTAATGTGAAAGCAAGTTTATTAAGATAGATAGTAGTGGTCCACGATCTTTTCCCGGCCTGGAGGCGGCATTGTTAACCTCTCTCGATGCTCTTTCTCACGCTAGTTCACTCCATTGCCAGCTCTAACTTACTCTGACGTTTTTGCTGAGTGAGACGAGATGTCAATTGCCTCTCCTACCGAGCGGAAGCACCTCCGCGAACGCCGACAGTGAAAAACACCAGGGAACTCCGACGACCGTTCATGATCTCACTAACAATTTCCACTGATCCTTCTCCATCATTGAATGGTTCCTGTCTCTCATTAAACCGTAGGGAAACTCAGCAGGAGACTTCCCGAAACAGTTCGATGCCCGTGTCTATCTATGTCTCTTTAAGCCCGGAAGCGAACATTCAGAGCTCCATGGAGGCGGCCATCTTGGGCTGTCGAGCATTTCCATTGGATGCGCCGATGCGAGGCGCTCATTCGAAAATCTTCCGATGGGACGACAGTCCCCAGGACCGCACTGACAGATTGGCGCAAGTCGATTGGAGACCCCGACACACCATGCGTTTCAGGAGAGAATGAGGGAGTCTGCGATCTGGTGATAAAAACAGTCTCGGAATGCCGACGAGATCTTGATTCGTTTTATTTAGCACATTCTACTGCATTCGTATCGCGAGAAGTCGATTGATCGCTCCCTAAATGAATGCGATCCCCATGAGGTGGAGCGTTCGAGCAGCAGAGTATTGGAGTTGAGCTCATCATTCGTCTGCTTCGAAATCCGAATGGCTTTCGCCGTCATCGGTCTCACTCCCGGTCAGTCTCGCTTGCGCAGCCTTCCGTTTCCTGCGAGGAGTTCCGACCCCTCCCGCGGGCGTCGTTGGAGTCCGCCTCAACCTGCTCGTTGGGGTGACCTTCCTATTCACTGGCGGGGTGAAAGACAGTTCTGTTGGCAAGTAGTATTTGGGATTATAAGGCGTGTCCGGACCGGGCCATACGAAGAGTCTCAAGGGCAGCTGTACTTTGTGTGGAGGGACCGTATGGTCGAACTTCGTGGTTCTGGACATGATCAAGCCCAGAGCCAGATCACACACCGCATACAAACGGGAGTGCAACTGGCGATCGTGGGGATTTTCTCGGTCACGACAGCGTTTGATATTCTCCAAGAGTTTCCTGTAGGTTGGGAAGGAATAGTTCGCGTTGCTATCGCTGCAGTGGAACTGTAACTGGAACCAGAGACACTCGCGAATTTTTCCCAAAGTCTGCAAATCGTCCACGCGCGTGAACGATGGATCGTGGGCCAGCATGTGGACGACGTATCCGATGACGTTGTCGGGGAGAATCGACGCTCGAGACACAGAATGTACGTCGTGATATTTAAGATGCTCCCTCCTTTTCTTGATGTTCGCTTCAAGGTATCCCCTCATTCGCTCCTGGTGGTCGCTGTCGGGCTCCAGAGCTCCATAGGAAAACAGAGCCATGTAGTGGAGCGGCAATTTCTGGGCTAGGAGTCGCTGGTGGAGTTTCTCGCAGAAACGTTCACGGACAAACTTCATCGGATCGGTAACGAGTTTCACCAGAGTGCGAAATTGGGCCTCGGTCGCAATCTCGTCGAAGTTTTTGAAACAGCAAATTTTCAAAATGCAGGTTCCGGCTTTCAGTCTGAAGTGAGACCTTTCTCGTTCTGATAAGTTACCCCATTTCATGAGGTCGCCTTCGTTAGCGACTGCCGTGAAGAGGAGCCGTAACGTACACTCCGCGTCCCAATTCATGAACTCCAGCATCTTTTTCCTCTTCTCCTCTTCGACTTCGGTGGCTCGGTCGCAATATAGATTTGTTAGGCCGATCAGAGCATTGGTTATGAGCCTCAAGGCTGCGATTCTCCTACGACTCCGCGCCGGCAACGAAACCTGGGGACCAAATGGGAAATGTGACTCATTGATGCTTTCCGCAGACGAGAGTCATGTATGCGAATAAGCGACGATTCGACTCAATTCTGGGAAAAGAACAAGCGGCAACGAACCATAGGAGCTCACCTCATCTGACATGTTGAGCTTATTAGACCTCGACCTCGCTCTTGACTGCGGCTCCATGAGGATCATTTTGACCGCGACCTCTACGATTATATGCTCGCGGTAGGGATTGAATATATCCGGTCGGAATCCCGCGATTTGCCCCAGAGAGACGAGGATAGTCTCGCGCTGCCTCGGTGACTTGACGACGAGCTGCTTCAATCGATCTAGAGCGTCCGAGAGACAAGATTCCTGCAATAGCGTAACGCAAGGCTCAGACTTTTCGACTTTCGGTAGCGTGTCGGAATCGCGACTGAATTATCCCCCCTCGATGTCTGGAGAAGCATCTTGGAAACTCACAGCGTCCTTGAGGATACAGCTGATGCAGCGAACAGCGAGCTTGGCTTGTTTCGGGGTTCCATTCTCGAGCATATTCAGGAGGACATCCTTCAACGATCTGAAGAACTTCAATTATTTTCTCCTGCTCCCCGATTCATTCGGTCGAGAGTGTCATAACGTTTTGGAAGCATTTTTCCATCATCCTTAAAATCCAGTGAACTTTCGAGGAGGCTCACTTACTTGGCCACGTCAGGGTAGCAGTCCGCGACGTCCTTCTTCCGTAAGTTATGAAGTATGTTTATGAGTAGGAGATTCGTTTCTGGCTCCCAAGTTATGGCAAGCAAATCGCAAAGTTCTTCGAGTATTCCGCGATCCATGAACGTATCTGGGTGAGCTTCTGACAGGACACAGAGGAGCTCCAAACACCGCCGCCCCTCGTCCTCTTTCACACCTGTGGGATAAATTCGAGAGGGAGCTCAGCCACTTCCAACTTCAATCGAGAGAAAAATTCGATTCGAATGCAGATCTATGATCTGATTTAGCGTAATTCCATCTCACACTCGAGTTTCTCCCTGACGACTTCGAGTATCTGGGAGACTCCCGGTGGATCGACGACCAACGGTGCAACCCTCTCCAATAGCTGCTTGATTGTAATGAAGAGGGCGCCTTTCGGATCGCCAAGCCGCATCATTATCAGCCTCTGGAAGAAGACGGTGATTCCTTGAGATGATGAAGATGGATTCTCGAGGACCACGGCCTTACTGTCAAAAAGGGAGTCACCGTCAGACATGTGATCTGGTTGCGCGTGCTCGAAAAATCAACTTGCCACGTTCTCGTTGACTTCCTTGAATGTCTTCGCTTCTAAAACCCCGATCAGGAGTCGGTGCAAAGTGTGCGAGTCCCGGACCTGCTGCAGAAATTCCAGAATATGGTCTTTTGCGGAGCGATCGTTCGAGACTTGTTGAGCCATGAACTCGAGAAGGGCGCCGAGTTTCTCGCGGTTTTCATCGCTCGCGCCGAATTCGTCTATGAGATGCATCATCTGGGAAGGAACCGATTCCGAGGTTAGCGAGATCCTACAATGTGTCCAGTTCATTTCCAATGCGTCGATCATTTCTTTGAGAAGATGCATGGATGCTTGAAAGGAACATCGGATATGACCAATACCCCTTTCAGCTGTTGCCGATAGGTATGCTGGAACTTCAAGATCATGATGAGAGCTTTCACTGCGTTGGGATCGGAACTCGTGAAAAGTCCAAGGAGTTTCGCCGTGCGCTCCTGCAAGGGGTCACTTCCTGAGTCATCAGGAAAGATCCTGAATGAACCACATGAGTCCGATGATGACTGACATGGTGCCGTGATGCTCACCTTACTGTCGAGCCAGAAAGGTACGAGGCAAGTATGGAGAATCCGTTCCACTATCAAACGATCTTGGAGATTTGTTTGATAGTACCTATGGAGCACCTGGAAGAGACGATCCGCACAGCGTTATAGAATTTCGCGGAAACCAAAGCACGCTTTCGATTTCGACTCACTGAATAAGAGTTCGCGATGTCAGTGGGTTAGATCACTCGATCATCGCGATCAGGGCGATATCCCAGTCAAAGGAGCCATCAGAGATTTCTTAAAGTATCGGACAGACTCCGAACTCGGAGTATTGAAGAACATCAGAAGCATGACCAGACTGCCTTCTGGTATCATGTCATCGAATCTCAATGGCTCAATGGGAGCCTCCTCTTCTCGCTACACTTCGAGTGTTCGTCCATTCGAATGGAACTCGCGCCCTTGAGCAAGGCCTCGCTCCCGACTTATTCCGATCTCGCGCAGTCGACTCTTTACTCAAGCTTCCCGGAACTCACTTTGTCCCTGATCCATCCGACTTTCGCAGCAGCTGTGGGGTCTTCTTCCCAGACCTCAGGCCTCTCCGCTCCATTGTCTGTGTGAGGAGGAGGTCTCGAGGTGAACTTCCGATATAGCTGACCTATACCGAGCAGGGAGAGTCTTCTGACCTTGAACTAAGAGATGAATGCTTATCGATCACCAATCTCGGAGGAATCTTGATGAACCTTTTCAGATCACTTCTTCTTCGCCTCCACTCACATTTGTATCTAGTGATCTCTCCTTGATGATGTCCAGTAGACCCGAATCACTGGCGGCTATTATGTCTTTTTCCGCCATTTTAAGTATAGTGAAAACAACTTGGAATCTGGAAAAAGTTGTTAGTTGTGTTTTCTTTAGCAGATTAAGTCGGTTTCGGTCGGGTGCCAGCAAGCATGCTGTCGGTCAGATAACGGCTCACCTGACGCTCTCATTCACGTCATACTGACGTTTCTTTATCGCCTCCACGATCTCGTCGCGAAGTGCCGAAGGGCTCAGGAGCAGGGGGAGCGAGAGTTCGATGCATTTCATCCGTATCTTGAGGTTGGGAGGAGATGGTCAGATCAGCTCGCTCCGATTCACTATGTCAGAATCTTGAGGTGCGGGAGCGCTACCTCTGGTCAGCTTACCTCATACTTTTGATCATTATACCGGGCAATGAACGAGTTGTGGAGACTCGGGAACGCCGAAATCAAATCGGTGGTCGCCATGAGCCTAGCCACCAATTCTGTCGCCTGAGAATTCACGGAAGAATAGGTATGCCTCATCGTCATGCTCCTTCGCGGGATCTATGTCCGACAACATGCCGCAGAGCCACGAACTAACCTCCGATCTGACGGCATCGTGCTTGTCCTGGAGCTTGGTATCCAGTTGTAGAACGAAACAAGTCAAGTTCTGAGGGACCAAATCATACAATTCTACGAACAGCTCGTATGTTGACTGAACTCGCCCCTGCCCACATTCCGCCTTGAAAAAGCGATCCATGTGAGCTTCTAAGCCGTCGGCAGCCTTCGAGATGATTTCCCGGCACATTTGGGTGAGTACCTTGAAAATTAAGCAATAATTTAGAGCGCATCCGCAGACATCGAGCCTGTCGATAGGTGATCTGATTCCGGAGGCGTCTCCATACCCACCGGAGAGTCATCCCTCCCGACGAGCAGCTCCTTCATTGACTCGATAAGATTATCGGAAACACTGTCCGGTTCATTTACTAAAGAAGCTAAAATATCGACTATGAACTGTTTGACCAAGCCGGTGAATCCCGTCAGCTTATGAGCATCTCTGGAACTTTAAGTGGACATGAAAATTACCATCGGTGCTCCACGAAGAGGCCTCACGATGCATGCATGATTCATATCGTCAGAATATCGATAGGTTGCGATTAATCACAGTCCATTCCCGACATTACGGTGCCCACCTGACAACCGCCATCAGATGAGTGAAGACTCTCACGACGAAATCGGGGCCCGAGTCTAAATCTAGATAGAGTTTCAACGTTCTTGCTTTGGCGAGAGAAGCGATGAGGTACGACGATTTCTCCTTGGAAAAGTCATCGTCGTTCTGGATACCTTTTGAGGAATATATATATATTATATATAATATATAATACCGTCGGTGTCAGTAATCCCGAACCGGAATAAGCAATCCATTATACGGTGTATTCCTCAACCAGGATGCCCAGAATGCCCTCCGGACTCACATTCGAACTGCTCGACACAGAACTCGAGAATTTCTTTGAGTTTCTTTCTGTTGTCGTAGGGGGATTCGGGGGCCGTCAGCCTGTGTTGATGGTTTTCTATTAGATCGGCGCCATCAATGAAGCGACGGAATCAGACGGGAGAGCGTATCGGGAGTCGGAAATCGTGTCTTCCACCAGGAGAAGTCTCACGAGCAGCGTTCCGACGCTGACGAGGATATAATTACATTACCTGAATACGTCGGCGATACAACAAGCAGCCAGCAGCCGAACCTTATTGGATTTATTCTGTATGAAACGCTTGTGCGACAAAGACCTCGCCAAAGACTCCATCTCCCGACGAACTCCACTGATCCTATTCTTGAGGATATTCAATGTTTCCTGTGAGAAAGAGAATGTATTGCGAATTTTTCGCTCACGAGAGGGGGGATGCTCAGTATTTTCGCAGTGATTCTCTTCCTGACCTCAAGCTTGGATTCCAGGTCCCCAGGGGGAACGGTCTCTCCCAAGTCCGGTAGAGCGGGAAAAGCTTCAGCACTCATCGCGATAGGGGTTTGACGGCTTCGGAAAGTACACAATTCCTAGCGGCTCATTGAGGGCAATCCAATAAATCGAAGATCCGAATTTTTCGCGGAGCGGCGCTCCGTCTTCCTGATTCTTCGTCGACCTCACATTTGAGAATTCAGTGGACCTCCATCACGGTAAAGTAATATCTTGTCCCATCGGAGGAACTCATACAGATTTCGCGCTCCAACCGAAATTGTGCGATCAGCTGTGATGAGCTGTCCCAGCAAGATCACGGGTAAAATGAACCACTCTACCAGGATTCCGACTCACGGCTCCGGTCCATGGCCATCGACAAGAACTTCGCATGGTAGAAATAGATTCATGGAATCGGATTTCTTCGAGTATGATAGAGATAATATGGAGAAGAAGCTGACAGACACTTGGCGCCTAACGGCGGATGAACGCATCGGTGGCGGAGGCTGTGCGAAAAGTGGCGCGAAAGGTGGAGCGATGCCGATCTTCCCGGAGAGAACGATCCCGGAACGCTCGAGCTGCTATGAGCGATCAGACTCTGTTGAATTTGTTCCTCTTCCGATGGCGCTGATAGCAGCGAAACATCGGAGCAAGGAGCAATCGATACCTATCAATCCAATTTTTTTCTCCTAACGCGGAGCAAGACGTTCCACAAAGCCGCCGATCGGGAACCAGAAGAATCTTCAATTTCAGACTAGATCGAAAACCGTAAACTGTATCTGCTGAGCTCAGGGAGCTTATCTGATTAGTAGTCTCTTGACTAATTCTTCCGATGGGTTCTTTATAATGGAAAAATGTCGATGGCTGGGAACGCATTTTCTTTGCCAAAACTCTGTGCGCTACGACCTCCGATGACGATGGAGCTGAGTCGCGAGCATCTTGGACAATTTCACACTTGTATATGTACTTTCAATTGATGATATGTAAACCGCGATTCGATATCCCAATCATCGAATAATTTATTGCGAACAAGCATTTCCAAGAAATGATTCAAGCTTCCCCCCCGCTCGATAGAGTCTATCCTCGCCCCGTATGATTCATTCGGGGGCCCTCGCCACAAACAAGGAGTCGATGAAAGGCTTGAAGTTCCGATTGACTGCATCCCGCCTGGAGTCTGGAATGGAGTCGGTCGCTCCCTGACAGCCCGATTCCGCAAGTCCGACCATCGGGGCACTAGACGCGGCTTTCTCGGACTCAGTTGCACCGAAATATGCTCAATCGAGCTCTACTATCCCGATTCCCAGAGAAATCTGGTCTCCCTCACTAGAGATGCCTTCTCATCCAACCCCTCGTTCGGATCAGCGGAGGACGCTTCCTGAAGCTTTCAGGGTCACGGATAGAATATCAATTTGAATGTCTGACTCTCCTTCCGGAGACGGCCATCGTACTGCCAGAACTGCCGCTCCTCAAGGGACCATTTCGGGCACCAGCCGTGGCGATCCGCGTCCTCCACCCTCTTCCAGTCAAACACTGGCTGCTCTATTTCACAAGTGAGCCTTCGCTTTTGCGCACAGCCATGCGTCTGCAATCCCCGCAGTAGACCGAAAGAAGCCCCATCAAGCGAAGCTCGGGAACCTCACTATCCTAGGATACATAACGAGTTCGGTTAAGAAGCGAGATCGTGGAAAGAGCCAACATGACCAAGACAGGATACTTTCTCGCCAAAAAGAACACGGCTCATTGAGTTCCTGAACGGCGGTTTACTCCACATCTTTTTCCTGTTTTATTTGAAGCACCGAAAGGTGAGACTCAAGCTCCTCTCATCGAAAAATGTCAATATCCGGATCGAGGCCTCCTCGACACGCCTTGATCTGAGAAGTTCTCGTACGGCCCCAGAGTTGAGGTTCGGAGCCGCATCTCTTGACCCAAAAACTGCGCCAAGTAGCCCTAGCTCCGAATCCTTCCGGCGCTAGCATGTCCCTGACCCGTGGTAATTGGCTCGGTTCGGGAGTGGATGCAGTATATGATCCCACCTCGATATCTGTGGAGAAAACAGGAATTCGGTGAGTGACGATCGTTTGCGGAAGGCTAGTCGAACACCCCAGGGACGGATTGAATCATAGGACCAATGAGCCGAGATCGAGGGACACGATCTTTGCGGGTGAGTGTGCCGCGATTCTTCAGAGTCGGCATGCGGCCTTTCTCTCGGGAATCACGAGCATCTTTGTTCCCGTCCGTTGCCACCGCACACCTCATTCGAAGGTACATGGCCGGCTTTTTGACTCAGTTTTTGAATTGAACGGGTTATCTCTGATAATAATTTACTCCAAGTTTGTTGTCATAAGCCCGGAGACGGTCGCGATTAGGCGCGACCGTCCCTGACGCTTGACATTTGCTCTCCTTCAGGGCTTGAACTCCTTAGCGCACAAGAGGCGCGAAAAAGCTTAACATCTGAAGGGAATCTACAGGAGGTCGAGTATGGAATTACCTGTGAGCGGGAAATCCGTGGCAGCTCCACGAGACAGGTGATCCTTCAGGACGAGGGAAACCTTGGGGGGAAAATAATCTGAGCCTCTGACTTGCCGATGAATTCTAGCCAAATTTTGCAGTTTGGGTCAGAAAGGTAACATCTTGTCCTCAAAGCAATCAGAACAGGTCTGTGTAGATCATCACGTGATACCCAAGCATCTCAGGCCTGGGATTGGCATTCTTACCTCAGCTGCGGAGCGGAGCCAGCGCGCGAGCGAAACGTATTCGGACTTCTTCAGCTCACGAAGCTTTCTGCAAGTATCGACAAAATCGTCAAGCATTGAAGGGCATCGTCTCAAGGGTCTAATCTAGATGGGACCATTCAGCTACTTCGGTTCTCATCCAGGATTTGGTTGGGTGTCTGAAGACCGTCGTGAAGTAGAATCTCATCAGTTCGATCAGAGAATGTGAGTTCACATCTACGAAGATGTCGAGGGGAGGCAATATTCCTAATATTGATTGATGATGATATCTCACATCGGAGTTCGGTGGACGCTTCTAGCGATCTTCGCTCCTGCGATTTCAGATCAGCATGGTTGATCCGGGCGGAGTCAAGTGATGCTTTTGAGAATTGATCGACTCCGGGACTCGCTCTGAGGGCGATGATACGGGGAACTTAATTTTCTCAGAGCAAACCGCTGCGTCGTCCGTGCCGCCATGTTGAATCTCGTTCCACGTGGGCCTGGGTAGAAAAATCATGTTCGAGTCCGGTGGGCTCATATTTGGCTAAGGTTATGTATATTCCAGACATCAGCTACTTCGGTTCTCATCCAGGATTTTTTGGGTGTCTGAAGACCGTCGTGAAGTAGAATCTCATCAGATCGAAAGGAGCATGTCTCAGAGTCTGCTTTTTTTCGCGATCATTCCGTAGCTTCCGAGAGCGGAAGATTCATTTTGTGGACGATGCGTCGTTACTTTCGGTCATCACACAGGACAGGACTCGACTTCGGAATAACTCACCGGGCGTTCAACTAGAAATCGCGAGAGCTTGGCGACGCGGCCCTCCTAAGTTGTTGTCTGAGGGAGAAGAGGATCGACGCACGTGCGACGGACAGTTTATAACAAGCCCGTCTGGTAATCCCTCTCTCAAACACGATCATCGCACCCGATTCGAGCCGTTTCTGGTCTCTCGTTTGAATTCGCGAGCCCGCGAAGAATGCGGATCTACAGCGAGAGGCGGCCGCGGGAAGACCCAGAGAAAAAACATTTTCCAGGCTCATGATATAGTTTATTCCATCATGCAAGAAAGTTACGCAGGCTAGGAACACAAATGGGACGACCCTCGAGAGGAAAAGTCGAGCAAAATATATTGTGGATGAGCTCGTCCCCCAAAATGTTGCGGAATGTCTGCCGTCATCTGGAATTCATCACTCCCTCCGATTGAAGTGTTTGTGTTGTGCCAATACTTATATTATACAGATAGGGAGGAGAGTAAATTTCGTATATTCTTCTTTACAATTGAGCTCGTGGTTGTATATCTTTGTTAGTATTGGTCCCCTCAAAGTGTTAGGAGACACATGGCATCTCATCGGCAGTGCGAACTAATTCTGGGACGTTTCAACCTCAATTTCGGTCGGAGCCTGACTTTCTTCCCCATGGCTGCAGAGGACTCCAGACTCATTCGTGGACGAGGCCTCGAGGTCTCGGACCGGCTCAGCTTCATCGCCTTCCTTCGTCTCGCTCATGGGTGAACTGACTGCAATCGACGAAGGGAGGATTCATTAGGAAACATCATTGTTTGCGTTCTGATTGAGACTTCGCAGTATCCGCCACGCATTGTCATCAGAAATTTGGATTTTCTCAACAACCTTCGACGGCGGGTGGAGAGGCACTACGTCCAAGGGGTACATCATCCTGAACCTCGGGAATCCCATTCTCCTGGGAGCGTTCCGAACCGTTCTCTAACACGTCTGCGTTGCCGTTCTCTAGAGAGGCAGGAGCATTCGCGTGATCCTGGTCGGCGGCGACTCCGTTCTCCTCGACGGTCACGCTCCCGTTCACCCGGATCTCAGCGGAGCCGTTTTCGTACACTCCTTGGTTGGATCGCTCCGCAGGATTTGTCTCTACAGGTCCGGTACTGAGTCTCAACCAGAATTCTTCGACGATTTTGTCTTCATTCGGCGTGTCCTTCGATTTTTGATATTTTTCCATGAAGTCCGCGTCGGCCTCCTTGAGACGGTTGAGAAATTCGTCACGATCGTTCGGCTCCCAACTCTCGAACCTGCAGTAAAGTTCAGACCAATCGACATACGTAGAAAAGAGCAGGGATCGAGTGCCTGAGAGGCGTATTCATCTATCCAACTTGGTTGAGATCCTCATAGTAGAGGACTCATCATGAGCATAATTCGATCATTTTACGAACCACCGCTTCAGGAGGTCGATACGGCAGTCGAAGAGGGTCGGCACCTTGTCTTCGGACTTCATGGGTGCTAGTCGCTGACCGATAGCGAGTTGACCTGCGGGGTGAAAAATCATGACGCCCGAGAAAATAGCACGTAGACAGTATGCGGACGCCTTCGATCAGCCGAAAGCTCGCGGTCGCATCAAACTAACCTGGCGCGTATAGATCGAGAAGTTGCTGCAGAAAGTCATCTTTCTCTACCTCGCTAAACTCGCCGAGCCATTGCGAGAGGTAGATCATCTGGGCATCTCGGGTCAGATCTCCACGCAGATGCATCGTCACCTGGAACCCGGTGGATGTAGTGTGAGTCAAAAAGTCATGGCTTGATGTACACCCTCCGGGGAGGATTGAAAAAGTCAAGTTTTCCATGGCGAACATTGTAACTTCGGGTTGATGCGATTGCAGCTCGGATATGTTGACTCACAGTGGTTCCTGCTGCGGTTTCCTAGAAGAGTGACTGCCTGAAGCGACCAACGAGACTTGGATCGATTTCCCCGATCTTTTGAAGGAACACGTGTCTCTGCTCCAGACTCCACGAAGCAAAGTATTCGTCAAACTTCCTGATCTGCAATATCGGTCGTAAATTCTTCAGAGTTCCGAGTTTGTCCAGCACTACTCCGAGATTTATGCTAGGCCCACGGAGACGGTCTGGTCTAGGTGTTTTGATTGTGATCGTTCTCTCCATCCGGCGTTCTCTATCGGCATGTGTGTCATCGGATCTCAGAACGGTATTCTTGGGAACGGCATTCTTCCACGGACGATCTCAGACGATCATATCGGGCTGCAGCCCTTCTGACTCCACAACGAAGCGTGTCCTTCCGAAGCATATCTCGACCCATCTCTCTCCTTACGAACCGTCTTGGAGACGACTACTCCCAAATGCGTCAAGCAGCAACGATATCCTTTCCGCATTCTTATCAGAGCGTACCTGGCACTGGAATGTCTCTTGTGATTCAGAGGCGATCCAGAAGAGGTCGAGTCGATTACAAAGCTCGAGAGCCGACGATTGCACAACGAGGAACCCCCTACGGTGGAAACGAGCCCCAAGTGTAATGAGTGAAACGCTCGATCCTGAATATGGGGAGCTAATTCAGATGCTTTCCACGTAGGAAGCACCGATGGCGTAGTCACCGACCTCAGATGTGTGAGGAACTTCTGTCGCTGTTCCTGGTTCCAGAGGGTGAACCAATGAATCACTGTACGAGTCTCCGGTGAGAGGATCTCAGAGCAATCAGACATCAAACTTCGGTCGTCTGCAAGGATTGGGAGAGCTCGTGAGCTAAAGCGTTCCCCAGCGTCCCCTCCTGAACATGTAGCAAGCGCCGGTCACGAGTCTGATCAGCTGTTCTAAAGCTCGATCGAGAGCGGAATTCACATTTTAGGACTTTGAAACAAGCCCGGCGACTCGGTGAGAGAATTGCGCTTGCGGACCGATGATAATCATCCTCAGGGCATCAACATCAATTCACCGGCGATCGCAGCGAGCGTCTCTCATAAGAGCGAAACTTCATCTGTCGATCTGTTCGTATCGGGGAGTTCCGATTCACGGATAGAAAGAGTCTGACGTGGAATCGAGCGCTCTACTCCAGGAGCGATGTCAGAGATTCGCAGCGAGCGTCTCTCATAAGAGCGAAACTTCATCTGTCGATCTGTTCGTATCGGGGAGTTCCGATTCACGGATAGAAAGAGTCTGACGTGGAATCGAGCGCTCTACTCCAGGAGCGATGTCAGAGATTCAGCCGAGTGAACGACACTTTCGAGAAATTTCGATGCAAATACGCGAATCTCTAGTTTCGAATACCTGGGATCCGGCTACCCACGCACTCTTGATCGGGGTGTTTGTCCTCCGCCTCCAGCAAGCTGTCTGAGCGGAGCAGCGTGTTCCATGACTGACAGGACGCTGTTGTCTAGATTCGTCACCCTACGAGGGAATGAGCGTGGCAGTTCTAGTGAAAGCCGCGGCAGCACCTTCCCTCTTTGGAGCAAGCTCTTGCGGCACGAAAACTCACGAGAAGTCTCCCATCGAAGGAATCGCGGCTTCATGAGAGGAAGGATCGGATCGTGGGCAGGATGCCCTCAGTGTCAGCGTCAGGAGCACCATTCATGAAAAAAGCGGGCACGTCGCATTGAAGCAGTTCCAAGTCCGAGCTCGATCTCTCTTCAGGGCGAATCGTGTAAAAGAAACCAAGAGCTCGCGGGCCACTCGAGAAGGAGATCCAATAAAATATTCCATTCCACAGCCTGATATTACGGCTTGGCGACGCTGTCCGATAAAAAAACGAGAGAGCGCGAAAGAATCGACTGTTGTCCACGATATCCTTCAAGCAGGGCGATCGATCTCGACCAACTCTCTTTCGGGTAGGATCCATTGCTCGCCTGAGTATACAATACTCCACTTCATGAATGGGTTCTGAGTTCATCGTGACTGGATTCTCTCGACAAACGACAAGTTAACGAAAAAGAATGATGATCGTGATCGTCCCCCACGTTCGGTTGCCTCGGCCGCATCTTTTTCGATCGTGGGGACTTCATTTTCGAGGCGCCTAGATCGCGCTGGAATTTTCGGGACCTCATGGGGTCCGAAGCGCTTGGAGGTGCGGTTGCAGAATCTCTCCGTGGGAGAGTTTCTAGGGAGAGGGGGACGATCTCGTCTTCTGAAGCTTATAAAGCGAGCATCTCGATATAATTTCATCCTAAAACGCTTAACTCAATTGTCTCGTCGATCTTAATCGGGGCGATCACTCCGAGTGACGCATCTTCATCTCATTACGTTGGATACTTGCTTCGGAGGAATGATGTTTCTGTGCAAAGTGACGCTCCTGCTGAGCCTGTTTGCCATTGCCTTCAGCCAGGACATCGAAATGAGCCCACGTATGCCGATGCACAGAACCGACGGCATTTTCGATCTCCTGCCCCCGAAAATGATCCTCAAAGCTGTGGGGCGACTCCTCGCGACGCCCATGTCGATGATCAAAATTGTGCTCAAAAGTCTGACATACGTTGCGCGGAGTATGTGGTCAACTGTAGGACCTGGAACCACGGTGCCGGGAATGACTCTACCGGGTGGCAGATCTGCGGAGAGCGTCTTCGACTGGCTAACGGAGGAAGCGATCGACGATGTCTTCGAAGTCTTCGGCTTATGAATCTCCTCGATGAAGCCTGGAACCTTCTACGCGCACAAGATTCTCATCTGTTTCTCCATGAATAAAGAACTCCGTCTCTCGAAAATCCTTCCTCTCTGTCTTCTATTCGAAAGTAAAGCTCACATAGGCAGAACCCCTGGGGGAATCGGATACCACGGTACCGTTGCAAGGCAAACACACCTTACCGCAGGATAGTCTGAACTAGGGGCCGTGATTCTAGATACCCGAGATTCCATAAGCGCCTCCCGCTCCATCTCTTGGTGCTTCCTCAAGACTCAGCCTCCGCTCGTAAGATTCCTCCTCTCCTTCCCACGATTGCTCTCGATGATAGTATCAAAGCGTCCAGGGCTCCGCTGCGAATACAGCGGGATCCTGCCTCAAAACATGACGGGGGCGAACTGCAAGGAGGCAAAGTTTGCTGTGGAATATCAGGAATCTATCACTCCATCTATCTATCTATTGGGGCCCTGTAACTCATAACACCATATTTAGCTTAGTCCGAGTTGAATCGAGTGTGTTGAGCGAGAGAAAACATCATTCTGAAGTTTTTCTGAAGCCTAGCTCATAAATGATGAATGGGACCCATTCATCAATCCGCCATACCCGCGATGCATTGACCCCCCCCCTTTCCTCGGACGATTCCTGGATCCGCCCTCGCCTCCTGGACACTTTCATCTACCTTGGGAAGCGCATCGTCGACTGGACAGCTCCAATGACGGAAAACTCCAACGTGCGAATGTTCCGAGGACGCGCTCCTAGTTAGGTTGCTCCACTGGGATTTCCTCGACACTGCAGTCCTACTAGCGAAAGCTGCGGAAAAGTACCAGAGCTTGGCTGCGTGTGAGTTGTGCTCCTACCTCAAGCGTCGGAATGCTCGAGTTGCCGGCTTCCTCAGAGCCATGAGGGCCTATTTCGGCGTAATTTCGGCTCATTAGTTCGCCGCGATGAGCGGTCTGTGTCAAGGAATTCGGTCGGAATTGTGTATTAAGTGCTGATGACTGTTGATACTTTCCGATTTGGAACGAAAGCTCCATAAAAACCGCCGTCATGTTTTCGGACTGAGCTTCATCGGGAAGACCTTGTTGCAATCATTCCGCTAATGTGCTTCGGCGAGCCTAAGCCTAATAGAGTCCATCGCAATCGTTTCCGGAGATTGGGCTATCAGGAAAGAGTCTGGCGAATCTGAACATGGACTTGCGTTCCGAAAGGAATCGGGTACGTCGGCGACAGATGCGAGTACTAGCTCCTGTGCCGCAATATTCCTCAAGAACGAGCTACCACTATCGAACTGTGGAGAGTTTTTTACCGTCGTGTCGATTCGCCCTCAATAGCTTGCCCACGGCCTGCTTCCTTCCGGCTCGCATTTTCTGGTTCAAAATTTTTCCGCGTGAGATCGATAGCGAGACTAGGCTCATAGTTTAGATGCTAGAGAAGAGAACAGACACCAGCTCGGCCCTTGAAGCTTGGAGCCCGTGAGGGCGCATCCTTCGATGAGCCAGGCGAAGATTTATCTCGTACGATGTACGATCCAAGCTCATCAAGCTATTTGTCGAGGATTCCGAAGAGTTGTATCTTCTCTGGACCATTCCGCTCATGAAATATCAGAGCATCAGCATCTCGGCGCCGCGTGACGTCGGCACCTATCGGATGTGATTTGACATTTCGAAGGTGCCGACGTGGCTCTCAATGCATACCGAGGAGATCCAGAGTTATTTCCTCCGCCTTGTTTCCACAGAGTCTTCTCCGTGGGCATTGAGCTCCCCATAAGAAAGATGATGCGCGCTGAGCAATTCTACATCAATCCGATCATTGATCCTCAATCTTGATCACGGGGTTTCTCCCCTTCGTGTGAGCTTCGATCGCCTCGATCAAGGCTCGATGGATACGTAGATGAAGATGCAGTCAATTAGTGCGTCAGGACCTTTGGATCGATCGCGTCGGTGGCAGAACCCTCGTCTGGATACGCCCATAACAGAGGTTTCTTTGAGCAACCGGCTCACTCAGTCGTCGCCATTAGTGTACACTGCACACCCATGTGAGAAATAAACTCGTTGATGGTGCACCGATGCCTGAACCGACCACGGGGTTCCGGGTCGAATGGGTCATTGGCTGCTACGTGATTGACGAGCTTCAGGGCGAGTTTCTTGCCGGGGACTTCGCATGCGATCGACGTTGAACAATTCGGAGTCCCCATGTTTTGGAATCGAGATGCGATTTCTACCCCTCTCTGATGATGTCGGTAATTGGATTTCTCAATCGGAGGCTCAAGCATCTCCGTTGATCCTCTCAAGAATTCTTCATTAGCGCTTCTTTTCAAGCGCAAGTAACCCCTCCCCCCTTTCTCGATTCCCTTGCCGCAAGCAGAGTATTCTAAAGCGAAGAGAAGTCGAAGACGGAGATCATTCAGAGGTGAAATCCAGCGTGACCGGTCGACCGTGAGCTTTGTGAACCCCAGCTTTCCAATTCTCATCACACATTCCCCAATCCGATTGCTCAAGTTCACAATGGAGGGAATCTCAAGAATGACATATGAGCCGACTCCCTTCGTGCCTCAATTGAGAGAGGTCTGGTTCGACTCGGCGAACGATGGACAGCTCCGTTTCCGCAGAGTGCTCAAGAGGAAGGCACTGAACTTTGATTTGACGCCCAGTCAGAAGAGAAGCCTGCGAACGTTGCTGGGCAAAAATGAACATTGGTCGCGAAGGATCAACGACCAAGAGGCGAGGTTCATGCGGGCGATCCTCGGGTGCAGCGACCTGGGCACGGTCTCGCTGCCGATTACCCGCAAAAAGCTGCCCAGATCTCCGGCAGGATTGGGGGAGATCTTGATTGAGGAGATTCTTCCCTCAACAATACGCAAGTTCTTCACTCAGGGAGCATATGCCATGCTCTCGAATCTCTTATGGAGGTAAGCATCGTATGTTGTGGGTTTCTTCTCGGTGAGCTCCTCCAAACCCACCGGATCCTCATAATTTTTCTTCGACAGGAAACGTTGCCACTGGACATGCCCCCTCTGCAGGATTCCGAGGAACCTTTTGATGGTCCGTTGCGAGGAGTGCGACGTCAGGTTTCACGACGTCTGCATCAAGTTCGAGA